TGTTCTTCAGTCTTTCTCGTCTGAGCTCTTGTTATGAGACGTTGATTGAAGACTTATCTTTTTTACTTAACTTTCCTATTGCATGTTTCCGGACTATTGACAATAAGGTCGTGTTTGACTAAGCTCAAAGTCACGGTGCGGATCAGTGTGTGACTGTTAATCTTTAACTGTCTGCTAGGGAAGATTGTTGAAATTCCTGCACATACGTATTTGATCCCATTATGTTGAGAATATTTTTATTGATTCTCAGGTATTGGACCCTTTGGTATTACTATTTCTTTGTTACGCAGAACCCGACTTCTAAAAGCATGGCGTGAACGACACATGTGCACGATTCCTCACAGTAGTCAAAGCACTACCGCGCGAAATCAACAGGTACGTAACACCTAGTAAGTTTACCAGTGGTGCTTCTGAACCTAACGAAACACTGAAACGATCTATCCATAAATGCGGAGACCTTAACGATAGACAAAGCTTAGACCAACTACATAATAACATCGACCTGCAACACGATTCTGCGTCAGATATGTTGCAAAGAATGAGAGAGGTTATCGGCCAAAGAACCTTCGATGATGGCCTATTCAAAAGCATGACATTGATCACCTTCCAGTGATCAATCAATTGTGATTACATCTCAGTCCTACAGGAGGTTAGTCATGGCTCGGAAAGCTCAGTGGTAACATCTCCGACTGTGAAGCTGGGTGACACGAGATCGAATCCGTCAGGGAGCACCAGTTCCCTCAAGATTACAGGTACACCTTGGTGACGAGTGCTAAGTAGCACGAAACCCGGGTCCAGGGTTTCCTGTTGACTACCTCCAACCACCATCTAAATCTCAATACATAGTGCCCGCAGTGTCGAGTCACCTAGACTGGTGGCCACATTGCAACATGATCGATAGCATTCGATCTGCACTAATAAGGACTAGACAAGCATGACATTGATCACCACCCAGTGATCAATCAACTGTGGCTTATTCAAACAACTGTTCTTATCCCATCTTTCTCAACAGGTGCAATCTGTGCTGGTCTCATTTCAAAACAACGCCATAGACGAGCTGGCTGCATTGGCTGACCACATCTTAAAAATCATGAAATCTTCTAATGCCGAGGATTTTTCAGTCAAAGAAAAGCCTCATACTACCCAGAATGACATTACAGAGTTATGTCATACACTTACACGTTATCTTAATTTTCGTAACGACTGTAAGCGGTCACACACTCCTCGAAGAATCACTTCACGTAAGCGATCTGTCTCTAGACCTCGAGAGACGGACAATCCCGATTGGTGCTGATATCATAACAAGTATGGAAAGTCCTCCAGAAATTGCAGAAAACCCTGCAATTTTCCCTACACGAAACCGACTGACTCGAAAAACAAGTCGGGAAACTTCCAAGCCGGCACGCGTTAACGGCAACCGTAGCCGGCGAACATAGCCGTCTGTTATACGTCACAGATGTGACAACGAGAGTTCGCTACCTCGTCGACACTGGCGCAGAAGTTAGCGTTCTCTCAGCGAATTCCAACGACCGACTTTACGAATCGACCCTAAACTTACAGGCGGCAAACGGAAAACCGATCGCTACGTATGACAAAAGGCATGTTTACCTTAACGTGGGTTTACGCAAAATCATCCACCGGATCTTCGTTGTTGCAGATGTATCTATGCCAATTATTGGTATGGACCTTCTACAACATCATAATCTGATCATCGATACGCGCAAACGGAGGCTAGCAGACAGAAACACTCATTTGTCCGTTTGCGTAACTTCCTTTTCTGGTTGCAAATTATCCCCAGTCACAATTAAGCACACGATAGACCCATTCTATCAACCTCTACTCGATAAGTATCCTGGGATACAACAAACGCAACCGAAACTACCGTGTGTAACCAGCAACGTTACACATCACATCACGACTACAGGACCACCTGTATGCGTATGTTGACGGCTGTCTAATAGCAAGCCCGACAGAGAATCGTATCTCCAGCATTTGGATCTTGTTTTCGAACGACTACAAAAACATGGCATTACTGTAAACATTCAGAAATGCCAAATCGGGACTGACTATTCAGACTTCCTAGTACACCCTGTAGATGCGCAAGTCATTCAACCCCTTAGAACTAAAGTGGCGACCATCCTGGATTACCCAGAACCGACCACGATCAAGCAATTACGAACGTTTAACGGCCTTATAAGTTTCTATAGACGATTTAATACCTAAATGCGCGTTACTCATGAAACCTCTTACCTACCGAATTCGTGGAAATGCAAAATCCATTAATTTGAACGACACCGCGCGAAAAGCATTCTTCACAATTAAGGAACTTATCGCTAAAGCAACACTGCTTGCACATTAGGACACTCAAACACCCATTACAACCGCAGTAGACGCATCGGACTCGGCAATCGGAGGAGTCTTACAACGATGGGTTAACAACTCCTGGCAACCATTGGCATTTTTCTCTAGACGGTTGCTAGACACCAAGTCGAGGTACAGCACATTCGGTAGGGAACTCCTAGCTTTGTATTGTGCTGTACGGCATTTTCAACACCACATCGAAGGCCGTGAATTCACCCTTTTCATGGACCATAAACCTAATACATTCTCGTTAAGCTCTCCTTCAGACAAGTACTCTCCCCTTGAGTCTCGACAACTGGACTACATTTCGCAGTTTACTTCAGATATTCAACATATTTCTGGAGCAAACAATGTAGTTGCAGACGCCTTATCTCTCATAACTTCCTTGAACAGTTTCCAAGGAATCGATCTTCTGAAACTCGCCGAGCTTCAGAAAGAAGACACTGATCTTCAGCACGAGTTATCGTCCAACACCCTTAAACTACGCATCATACAGATGGGAGCACGTAAGGAAACCTTACTGTGTGACACATCTACAGTTAGGGATCGCTCAACCGTGACGAAACATTATCGATGCAACATCTTCGATACGTTGCACAAACGTTGTCATCCAGGTGTTCGTGCAACTATCAAGTTTATAGTTGAACGGTTTCACTGGCCTGGCGTGAACAAAGACATGTGGGAGTGGGCACGCACCTGTGTAGGCTGCCAGAAATCTGGGGTGATTAGACACGAAAATGGCCATTAGGCCCTTTCAATATTTCCGACGCTGGTTTCGATCATATTCATCTGGATTCGGAAAGACGTCTACCAGATTCAAATGGATACTCTTACCTCTTAACATGCGTAGACCGTTTCACTCGATGGCCAGAATCTCTACCTACCAAGGACGTCACTGCTGAAACAGTGGCCCACGCCTTCGTCGAACGATGGGTAGCAAACTTCGGCTGCCCTTCAACTATCACTAAAGATCGCGGACGTCAGCTTGAATCTGAACTTTTCCGTTGTCTGACCACACTTTTAAGAATCACTCGCTTCTGAACGACTGCCTATCACCCACAAACAAACGGGTTAGTAGAACGCTTTCACCAACAACTAAAAGTTTGACGCGCGTAAAAGCGTATTTTGGCATGTACTGACATATTTTTTTCCAGAACGTCTGGAAAACAGCAATGAAGTTTACGAGGAATCGAAATTTTCATTGTACTTTTTCCTTTTTACTATATTGCACTTCATGGTCCCCTATAATAAGGAAAGACGGTCAGACGCTGTTAAACCTAGCAAGCTATCAGAAGAGTGTTTACCAACGACAGACTCGTTGAGTCTAAACTTCTGGTTGGCCACGTCTTAGGGTCATCTCTACCACACTAGGGGGGTAGTGATCTGTAGCGGTAATAAATCTCCAAAATAAATAGCTCTGTAAGTTTTCGGCATTGAGTGCTGACCACATTAGTTTTAATGGACTCACCTAGCTGAAGGTGCTCGGTCATGCATCTGCACCAGATCACGAGTGGAAACGCCGTGCTCAACAACCCCTGCAATCGCTAGCCAGATTAGATCAGACGATCCTCGATATATTGGTAGCCTATCAAATATATTTTCGAACCTCCTCGCTCCTATCTTCTGATTTTACTTGTTGGGTACGCTTCATGTTAGGTGTTACTGGTTAAAGCGTTGTCAAACTCCGAATACCTATGGCATCTTCAGGTTAAACAATGATATTACTCACCTTCTTGCTAGAAATGTCTTAGTTCCTACCTCGGAGGTTGTTTATCCGCTGCCAATAGACCCGAATACCTGTGGCATCTTCATTACTCTATTCCGCCTCAGTTGATTAATAGTGCCCTGTGGCCAAATACACTTACAAAGGCGTTGTAGTGCAACTGGTTCTCAATTACACGATCTTTGAAACAGAACATACGGTAACTGAGAAGATTTACGTTCAACATCTGACACCACGGAGAAAGCCGGGTATGGTGAATATCGTAACACAAAGTCAAAATGACATAGCTTGGCCATTCAGGCGTAGTCGCTCTGAGACGTATTCCTCTTCACATTAGATATACCATTCTAACCCTAACCTAAACATGTCTTTCAGAAAAGTCAAACGTCATATTGCTGATTGTCACGATAAAACGAATCACTAAAGACAGTGATGTAACCTTCACTTTGGGATTGGGTCTATCATTTTAGCAGTCGAGATAAGTGTACTTATATCGAACTCGATTATAATCCCACAGCACCACTTCATGTTAAGAAACTAAATGAAACATGAAGAATACGTAGGAATTTTCCAAACAGTAGAATATTTGGGCTGTAGGAGTTACCACCGTAGAGGTCATTGACAATATATTTCATTGGGTTTTGCACAATTACGCTCGATATATATCATAGGTCTTATATGACTGATGGAGCGCACTGTGATATCACTTCACAACCACTCCTACTGTTTCCCAACGTTTCTATCCTTGGGTTCCGAAGGTACGCAGAACGAATGACAACTCATTGTAGCCAACGATATTTATTGGAACGGACAAATAGTTGGTTATCGCTTCCCAGAGAGTTGGAACTTTGAAATGTGGTGAGCGGGTTTAGGATAAGTACGTTACACCTAAGACTATGCTACAGGCCTACTATTCATGGGCAACCGGTTAGCTTGTTGTCGCCAAACATGGATAGAATTTCATGATGAAAGTGAAGAAGACTGCAAGAATCACCCATTACCCCGAGTTTTTGGTCACCAGAATAATGGTGCTGATTTCTCTGAAGAGGATAGTGGATTCAAAATTGAAAATCGTGAACCCTGTGTCAGTTGTACACTTATTAGCGTACCTGAGAAACCTTCTGTTGCATATAATTTAACACAACACATAAGTGAACGGGAACCAGAAGGTTTGTGACCTATGGGTCACATTTATTATATTAATGCACCATAGATGTCGAGTTTGACCCATCACTTAATGCCTCACAACATACACTGTTCCTTTCCGGCATTACACCTGAATATCAAAGTAAGTGAAATATTTTTTACACTAAGATCTAGTAGTAGGATTTTCCAGGGACCTGACGGTATGTTGTAAATTTATTTATGGCTTACGCGACATCAGCCCAAGTCTAGGAAAGGGGCTCCTACAACCCTTTCTTTTAAACGGTGGAGTTCTTGCAGTACTATATATGTTGGGGATGGCTATCTGGCTCGTCCTGATGTGAATGACATTGTATGTAGCGTGTCAGTGGCTATTCAACTTCTTATGTGCAGTGATCTAAACAAACATTTTTCAAAGCTGTTACATAAACCGGGTGTAAATTCATGTCCTGACTTCCTGCAGGATATGTATGAAGAGGTGTATAGAAGTTTTGATGAACGAGTCTACCCCATTGAGGTATGTCTAAAAGGTCTGTCTGAATTATTTCAAAGTAAATGTGTTCAACTTCATCCAGTTCCCCTTCCCGTTTAAACTAGTAATTACCAAGGAAGGTAAGAAGCTCTGCAATATTTTGGTGGTAAATGTTACATAAGTATTTGTTACTTGGTAAGTAGCCGTTTATGGCACTATTGAAAAATCTTATGACACCTTAATAAACAAGGTAACTCGAAATGGGTCTTTGTGTAAATGTTTTTTAGCCATTCAGATTGTCGGAAAATTAGCGGCACTTAATACTCAAGAACATATTTTTGTATTTTATGACGAATCACAATTTGAGGGCTGGTGACGCATGCTCTCTCAAACCGTTGTAATTGAAAAGCTGTCATCTGACTCAGCGGTTGTAGTGAATTTTCAGATTGCTTAGTTGTCTCGGAAAACTGACTGCACTTGGAATTTCTTATCGGCTTAAGTATTTTGGTTTAATTCAGTGGGTCTAGTTTCGATAGCGCCATACCTTGTTATACAGAATAAGTAATACTCATAACCTATTCCTTACATGTGTAGACTGGTTTTTTATGGCTTATCACTCGTAATACACATAAATACTATTTTAATATTCCATTCTAAGTGTCGTTCATATTCATAATTATATCAGTAATTCTTCCTGTTTTTAACCGATAGTCATCCATCATTTTCATCCCACAGACTCAGTTTTCAAGTATTACCATTGGTCTTAGCCGTTTATTCATTTGCCGTGTTTGTATTTCAGTCTCTTATATTCCTACCGCAAGCCCGATTTAGACAAGGTTCATATATACTGTTTTGACTCATTTATAAAAGCGATGTAAACGTAAATTCGCCTTGGGAATTAAGGTTTATTGGTTGCACTAATCCATCTTTATTACATGTATCCATCGACCTTAGAAAATTTTTTAAAACACAAACCTTAATTTGCAAACTAGCTGAAAATCCACCTCACATCGAGGGTCAGTTAATTTCTTGTATTTGTAGAAATATAGGGCCTTCCCAACTTAAAAATCTTCATTACTCTTTAGGATCCGGTAACCTATAGTTCTTTCCGTTATTACTCGAGATTTTCATTTTCAAAGAAGTCAGAAGGAACGAAACAAAATTGATCTTACTGACGTTTCGCTACTCAATACTAATAGCTTCACCAAAGTATTGTAGATCACGATGTACAAAAACTGAAGTTTATCTATGGTAATTCGGCTGAAATGCTTCTGTACGAAGCAATTCTGTGTTGTCGAGTGAATAAATTGAAAAAACCAACGAGTTTATAAGCTGGTACATTTAACAAGTGTATGAATTATAAGAATTACATGTAGTTGTGTGATACGGTTTTCGTATCACATCTGTGTTGACAATTCTAATTTGTGGGAAGAGGGCGTTAGAACCAAGAGAAATGTCGCCTTAGCCCCTCATTTCTATCCAGACAATTTAAATTCCACTTCATATTAAGTGTTTCTAATCTATGATTTTGTTTATGTCTTAAAGTCCATGCAAATTACTTTAATATTATTTGTTGACCTAATATTAAATGTTTACGTAAGACAGGAAATTCATTAAGTTTTTGGATTTCTTGGTGATCAGATAGAAGCTCATCGATGTTCATGCGTTCCTATATTGATTTCTCAAGCTTTTTAATATGTACTGGATCACATTTTGAATGTGCCATTTTGTTGATAATTAAATTGTGGATATTCCGGTGTTTTATCTTATGCATGAACTAAATTGCTTTGTAGTGTTTGATGTGGTAGAGAGTACCCTGGTCTTACTCGTTTAATCTCATCTGTGTCTGGTCTTATAGAGTGACGATTGTTGTAGTCCATGGTTTCGGAGTACTTTTCAATCACGTTTAATAGCGAGGCGTTAGCAAAAAAATCTGCTTGTTTTTTTCACTCACTGGGAAATACTAGATTTTAAAAGTGATGAATATCACTTACCTAATGGCCAGGTTTTTTAAACCGTTAGATCTGAAATCGATCGGGATATTTATACTATAGAAATGTCGTTGGTTTTTATAAGAATATGTTGTTGCTACCTCCCGACCGTTGTTGCTACCTTGACGTGGTGGTCGGGCTTGCCTATCGTGATGAAGCAACCGAGCTATACTGGCTGGAACAACCGTTCCTCAAGGTCCTACCATGTCAGACAGGTCGGTTGAAGAGCGGTAAGACTAAAAGCAACAAACTCAAGGTCCGAAGGCGAAGTCGTACTGCTGACTGTACAGAGGCTGAATTCTTCATGTCCCTTTTTTCCTCTTTTCAAATTTATTTCACTGGATTATACTCTTTAAATAACATCTCCAAACCCTAATCTTCCCGATTATTGCTTATACTCTTATTACCTCTACCACTACGGGATTTGAATCGACAACTGCATCTCTGTGCTAATGTGGTGTGGCAACTCGAACTGATGTACGTACGTACGAAGTTCTAGGTTGTTACTGACTGACTGACTGATAGTTATATGGAAAAATTGTATAAGAACGTACAGCTTAAGTAAATGATTTTGTCGAAAAGGTTAGGTGTGACATTTTTAGGGTCAACCTTTTCTAACCCCACCCCTCCTTGTGGGAAGGCAGCATCACTGCAGATGCTAGTTGTCCGAGGGAAACACCTTACTGCTGTCACACCTCTCTACAGTCAGCAGTACGACTTCGCCCTCAGACCTTGAGTTGCTGCTTTTAGTCTTACCGTTCACCAATCGACCTGCCTGGCATGGTAGAACCTACAGGAACATATGTTCCAGCCAATATAGCTCGGTTGCTTCATCACGATAGGCAAGCCCGACCATCGCGTCAAGGTCGCAGCTTCGATCGGGTCATATAACTATATATACGAATGTCCAGCTTAAGTAAATGATTTTGTCGAAAAGAAAAATTTCTTCGCTGAATTCTCTTTTTCATAAGGAAAAACATCTTTTAACATGGCGACCCTCGAATTCGTCCCAACGTTGGACTCAAATAGATCACATTCCTACCAGCCACTGTGAAGTGTGATCGATAAACAAACTCATGAATGATGAAGTGAAATGCCCATTAACTTCCTTTGACCTTGTATTACTATGACTTGCTTATTCACCAATCACAATTTTTATGTTCATTATAAAACAATACTCACCTTGTTGACTTATTTTTCCTATCATCTAGTTACTATTCGGTATGTTATTTATGTCTCTGTTTTTCCCTGTGTAAATAAACTGTAATGTTTATTTTGTACACTAACGGTGTTAATTTATGATTTAGAAACAGATAAAGTTTATCAAGCCATATAGCTTACTTGTTCTGACTTGGGTTAAACCAAGGCTCTGTGCTCGACAGTCTAGAGAATAGCTTAGAGTTACACCTGTAGGAAATTGCTTCCTACAGCCACCGATGGAAGGGCTCAATAGAAGACTGTCGCTCGTTCTGGAACACATGCTTATATTCAGATCATGCTCTAGTGCTAGCGCGTGTTGTCTGCGTCTCACTGGACGTAGGAAAGACGCTTCAAGAATACCTCTTAGGGTCCTATTTAATGATAGCCAAGCTAAGAATATATTCTAAATATCTTTACATAGTGTAAAATTACCTGCATATTATCATTCTTGCACCTGTCTTATTATACAATAATGACTGTTTTCGTTTGCTTTTTGTTTAGCACCTCGTGTATGATGAAGATGCAAATACCAATACTATAAATGATTGGAAATCTTCAACAGCCTATCATATTCGACAGTTTCTGCGTCGTCTTTTCAGCACAGCTCTATTGGGACCCGAATGTGCTATTGTAGCCCTTGTAGGTGACTGCTTTAACTTCGGAAACGCTTTTTATGTAGTAAATGTACATTCATTCTCGCATGAAGATTTCGGCTTTTATCAGACCTGATATTTCGGATAGTACTGAAGTCCCATAGATCGATTTTTCAATGTCAAAGCTTTCACTGGTTTTTAGACAGGATCAGTACCAACTTACAGAAGTTAACATTTTAGTGCTTTTATACATAGTTGAATACTCACTCGTCATTTGTTTACCTGTATAAAAATAGTTTTCCATACAGATTTTATTACTTTTTACAATGTACTGAAAGTTGCAGTACACTCAAAGCAACAACTTCAAAAGTCGATCTAAGCATGACGTCATCATATTTGAGTTAGGAGCATGTACTACCTTTCGTTTCCTAGGTACTGATTACGTCAAGCACTCGATAATAGGATGTTGAATAGTAAGTTTAAATTGTTATTGCACGTGAAATGTGTAGATACACGTTTATTGCTTTCGTCGAGTTTTATTTTAGCTTAGTATGATCTGGATTTTCATAAATTAGTACCTAGTTTCTTCAGTAAAATATTGAGTATTTCTGGTTTTATATGAAGGCTGACACTATAATCTTTATCTTTTTCACTTCATTTGCTTCAGATGTGAGGCACTAGTCATTACCAAATGTCCAGATAAAAATGGGATTAATATGCTTACTTGGCTTCAAGATATAACATTATTTTTATTTCTTTTAACTGTCTTTGATTCGAGTATTTTTATATTTTCATAAACATGCGCTCTGTTCTAGAATATTTTGTCACAAATATTTTATTGTCTTTTAGTTTATACCTGAGGAATGACTTAGCAAATTTCATCAGTTCATTTGTTTTTGTCATTCACACCATGACTGTTTGGATAGTTATAATATAATAATTAACATTATTTAAATTTAAGAATTAAAACCTTAGCTTTATGACTATTATAAACATTCTTATTTTTATTTAATTAGATATTTCTTGAACGACTTATACTTGGAGCCGAAGTGGCTATGACATCATGGACATGGCGTCGTCAACTTTTAGCTTGTGTTCTTCTTGCTAGCAAAGTTTTAGATGATCAGGCTGTATGGAATATTGACTATTGCCAAATTCTCCGGGATATCCATGTTGAGGATCTGTAAGTTCAGTAATAAGGAAGGTGATCATATTAAATTAGTAGTTCTAAATCCCACAGTTCTGACATTTTAAAATCTTTCCTTTCAGTATCAAATGTATTATAATTTTTGTTAGGGACTTTATCAATATTCCAAATGCCTCTATAATGAACTCTTACTTATCATCGTCGTCCTTGTCTATATATGCCTTGGTGTTAAATTATGTTTATGCGACAGTGTATTAACTTTAGCTAAAATTAATTATTATGTTTAAGGTAACTTACCGAATAAATTTATGTTCACAGCATTGGTTCACACTGATTATGTGAAGGTTAGTGATATTACTCGGCTACTTAAAATGGAGTAAGTATAGCGCTGTTAGAACTTGCTACCTAGCAGTTGAAAATAGAGCGCTTCAACCACTAAGCGACCACTTAGTCTGTCGTAATTGTCATAGCATTGTAATTGTTTAGCATTAAGACTAAAAACTGGATATATAGATACATTCTAGAATAAAAAACATTGTTTTGGAATACAGATTTCCCTATATTCTCTTAGTGTAGTTGGATCTGGATGTATCTGACTAATCCCGTTAATCTAGTTTATTTTTATTCATTTCCCTTTTCTGTCTATTTTCGTTTATTCTAGTCAGGGTTAAAAGGTCGTCTTCAATGGCGAAACAGTCATATTTTTATGTTTGAAAGTTTTTTGCCTTATGTATTACTGTATGAACGTATATATTTATGTAAACATCGCAGCAAATAATAGTTTCAGTGCAGCAGTATGATAGGAGGTTGGAGAAAATTCACAGGAAGCCCTTAATATAAATATCAAGCTAGTTGTTACTTGTTAGCAAAAGATGTTGGGATACTAGAAGAGACTGATACTTTGAACGCCATATCTTGCAGTATCTCTTAAAGAGGTGTTGTATTTAAACATTCAACCACTCGATATCAAAACTTAGTCTTTGGGTCGTCGAGTCACTTAAAGTAGTGGTTATATTGTAATGGTATTTGTATAATTTCATAAGCACCAGACTAGAAAAATATGGAGTTGACTACTTATCAACGATCAATTAGTTTAAATATTTCAACCTTAAAGGAAGTCAGTCACAACCTGAATAGCTCAAGGGTAACGTATATTAATGATAACAGATGATATGGTCTCAAATTTCGTAGAAAGCATCAAATAACTCCAGATTAACAATACTTCTTGATGGGTGACAACTGGCTCTTTATCAACATTTAAGGTTTCCCCTTGACTACCTTCAAATAACTAACAAAAGCTTACTCCACTCGACCCCGAATCATTTAGACTAATGATCACATTGTAACTTGATCGGCAGATTTCAATCAGGATTAAGGACTAGGCGAAACATGACATTAATTACCACTTGGTAACCGTTCCCTGTAGAACTTACATAGCTTGTATCGTTGCTCCTTTAAGAGTGGCATCAAACCTTTCTATTTTTTCAATTGTATACATTACTTACTTACACCTGTTACTCCTCGTGAAGGAGCATAGGTCGCTCACCAGCATTCTCCATCCAACCCTGTCCTGGGCAATACTTTCCAGCTCCTTCCAGTTGTAATTCATCATTTTCATATCTGCTTCTATTATCCGACGTAATGTGTTCTTTGGCCTTCCTCTTTTCCGCTTCCCTTCAGGATTCCAAGTTAGGGCTTGCCTCGTGATGCAGTTTGACGATTTGCGTAATGTATGTCCTATCCATTTCCATCGTCTTTTCCTAATTTCCTCTTCAGCTGGAAGTTGGTTTGTTCTCTCCCACAGAAGGCTATTGCTGATGGTATCCGGCCAATGGATGTTGAGTATCTTGCGTAGACAGCTATTTATAAATACTTGTACTTTCTTGATTGTGGTTGTTGTAGTTCTCCAAGTTTCAGCTCCATACAGTAGAATTGCCTTGACGTTCGTATTGAAGATTCTCACTTTGATATTGGTTGAAAGTTGTTTTGAGTTCCATATGTTCTTCAATTGTAGGAATGCGGCCCTTGCTTTGCCAATCCTCACCTTTACGTCTGCATCTGAACCTCCATGTCTATCGACGATGCTTCCCAGATATGTGAAGGATTCTACATCTTCCAGAGTTTCGCCATCAATAGTGATTGGATTGCTGTTCTCCGCTTTGAATTTGAGGACCTTAGTTTTCCCTTTGTGTATGCTGAGGCCTACTGATGCAGAGACTGCTGCTACACTGGCTGTCTTCATCTGCATCTGTTCGTGTGTACGTGATAGGAGGGCTAGGTCATCTGCGAAGTCCAGATCGTCTAATTGGTTCTGAGCTGTCCATTGTATTCCGTGTTTTCCTTCAGATGTCGAGGTCTTCATAATCCAGTCGACCACCAGAAGAAAGAGGAAGGGAGAGAGTAAACAGCCTTGTCTGACTCCGGTCCTTACTTGGAATGCATCTGTCAGCTGTCCTCCATGCACTACTTTGCACTGTAGTCCGTCGTATGAGTTCCGGATAATATTGACAATCTTCTCAGGAACTCCGTAATGTCGAAGAAGTTTCCATAATGTCCTCCTATCTACACTGTCGAATGCCTTTTCATAATCAATGAAGTTGATGTACAGTGACGAGTTCCACTCAACTGATTGTTCGACGATGATCCGTAGTGTTGCAATTTGGTCTGTCCACGACCGATCCTTTCGGAATCCAGCTTGTTGATCTCGAAGTTGGGCATCTACTGCATCCTTCATCCGGTTCAGCAACACTCTGTTGAAGACTTTCCCTGGTATTGACAGTAGTGTGATGCCTCTGTAGTTTTCACATTTGCTCAGATCTCCTTTCTTTGGAATCTTGATGAGGTGTCCTTCTTTCCAGTCCATTGGCACTTGTTCCTCCTCCCAAATCTTTTTGAATAGAGGGTAAAGCATGCTTGTGGTTACTTCGACGTCTGATTTCAGTGCTTCAGCTGGTATGTTGTCGCGTCCTGCTGCTTTCCCGTTCTTGATTTGTCTGACGGCCATTCTAATTTCTTCCGTCGTTGGTGGGTTGACATCTATAGGAAGATCTATGTGTGCTGCTTCGATGTTCGGTGGATTCATTGGAGCCGGCCTATTCAGGAGTTCCTCGAAGTATTCTACCCATCTGTTTCGCTGTTGTTGAATTTCAGTGATTGGCTTGCCTTCTTTGTCTTTGACCGGCCTCTCTGGTTTATTGTATTTCCCTGATAGTTTCTTCGTTGTATCGTAAAGCTGTTTCATATTTCCTTCTCTAGCAGCTTTTTCTGCCGTCGTTGCTAATTCTTCCACGTATTTCTTCCTGTCGGCTCTAATGCTCCTCTTCACTTGCTTGTTTGCTTCTATGTATTCAGCTTGTGCTTGGACTTTCTCTGCTCGTGTTCGGCTGTTGTTAATTGCTGTCTTCTTGTTCTTCCTTTCTTTGATCTTGTCCAGTGTTTCTATAGAGATCCATTCCTTATGATGGTGTTTCTTTAGGCCCAGAACCTCTTGACACGTTGAAGTCAATGTTTCTTTGATGCCTTTCCAGTTGTCCTCCATGGTAGTTTCTTCTTCCTTCAGTAGATCTTGAAAGGCTTGGAACCTGTTGTTGAGAGCTATCTTGAATTCATTGAGTTTGTCAGTATCTCGAAGGAAGGCTGTATTGAACCTTTGTAGTACTGTTTGTCCACTTGTCCAGTTCTTTTTTAGCTTCAGTTTTAAATTGGCTACAACTAGGTGGTGATCTGAAGCTACGTCAGCTCCTCTCCTGGTTCTCACATCTTCCATTGTCCTTCGGAATTTTTTGTTGATGCAAATATGGTCTATCTGGTTCTCTGTAGTGTGGTCCGGTGAGATCCATGTAGCCTTGTGTATACGTTTGTGTGGAAATATTGTGCCTCCTATGACTAATTTGTTGAATGCACACAAATTTGCAAATCTTTCTCCATTTTCGTTCCTCTCTCCCAGTCCATGTCGTCCCATAATATCTTCATATCCAGTGTTGTCTGTTCCGACCTTGGCATTTAGATCTCCCATCAGAATGGTGAGGTCCTTTCTTGAGCATTTCTCTATGATTGACTGCAGCCGCTCGTAGAATTGATCTTTAATGTCGTCGTTGCTATCATTGGTGGGTGCATAACATTGGATAATATTCATTAAGATCCCCTCCTTCTTTGTTTTGAATGATGCTTTGATGATTCTGGATCCGTGGGATTCCCATCCTACAAGTGCATTTCGTGCTACTTTGGACAGCATTAGAGCAACTCCCTGAGTGTGTGGAGCATTTTCCTCTTCGTGACCGGAGTATAGCAGCATCTCTCCCGTAGCTAGCCTTTTCTGTCCAGCTTGGGTCCAGTGGGTTTCGCTGATTCCCAGTACTGCCAAGTTGTATCTCCTCATTTCCGTTGCTATTTGGCTGGTCTTCCCGGTTTCCCACATTGTTCTAACGTTCCATGTACCTATAAAAATTTTTGCTCTGGTTGTTAGAAGGGGCATCGGCCTCGTGGCTTCCGAAGGAACTCGGCTTTCACCATGAAGCGTCATAATTCTTCTAAATGAAGACCTTCTAACTCTCAGGGCAGAGTTAAAATGGTTTGAATTATTTTTTCTGGTAAGCGTTTTTTTAGCGAGTTAGTTTTCTACGGGATGGGGACGCTAACCCCATGCCCAACCCTCCTCCTTTACCCGGGCTTGGGACCGGCAGTAACTCTAGAAGAGCTACAGGCGGAGTTAATTGTATACATTACTTGATATTTATATACACTTAACAGAACTTACAGAGTAGTACATGGCCATAAAACTTGAGGGTGGATGTTACAGACACTAATGGAGAGGAGATATTGATACGAAGGCAGTTCCTAACACGCACATTCGTATCCGTGCACAAAAAATGTGAAAAGCTGTCTTTTCTGGAGAACTTATACTGTGCTAGAAGATGCTAAACCTTGTTACAAAATTATCCTATACCAAGTGAATGATAAGGACTGAAAAATAGGCTTTAAGAAGCTGTTATATTTTTATAGATGAACTTTTCAGAGTCCTATAAGGTCACTTTTTCTGAAGGTTGTAGTTTTCATTAATTCAAATGTCCAAGATTGTATATTTTTACTTACTGATTTAGAAAGTTCTTGCAACTTGAATCATTTCATTTAAATATTTAAAAACAGGAATGCTTTGGAACGACACACATTAAGACTATTACGGTTTAATATCAATGTACCATTTGGAGTATATGCCAGATATTATTTTGACTTGTTAACCGTTGGGGAGAGCGCTGGAGTCGCAAATCAAGCTGTTAAACGAAAACGCTTAACTCCTGAAAGAGCACGCAACTTTCGAATATTACCTACTAATTTGGAAATATGTACATCGGACAAAACATTATTAGATAGAGGATTTCTTTTTGACTTACCTTCTTTCACAAAATCAGAAGTATTGTGCAATAAGAAAGAGGAACAAAAGCGTATTACTATTCAGAAATCAACAGAAGTTAAATGCTACAAAGACGGTAATCATAAAAAGTTCATTAAAACTCCTTTTTTAAGTCGAAATCAGGCAACTAACCATGAAATTAACTTGTCCAACCCAAAGTTTGATCTTATGCTTGATCATGTAACAGTTCCTGTTGATATTAATTATCAGTCTTTCAATAATGTAATTTCCGATGAATCGATGGTTCCAATCCACCTAGATGAAGAAACCGATTTTGTAAATTCTACTCCCCCAACTTTTTCAAAGTTAAGAGATTTTACTTGTCAGTCGAAACAATCAAAGACAAAGTATTCTTACACAGACCAAGAGCCTTCTAACCAGTTTCATCCTTTATTATTATCATCATCTTTGGATTATCAAAAAGAAACAGTTCCTTGCACGAAGCTTCTGATCAACTCCTCCTGTAAGCCTTTCCAAACGTCAGCTTGTGTTCGGAATTTTAATCCACCTTGTTCCTTAAATGAAGCAACAGGTGTAGATCCCAATAATGTAACCGATTCTCGTATGGGAACAGAGTTCATGCGATCTCTTATGGGTGGCGATGTAGCTTATTCCTTATTACGCGATTCTGGATTATATTGATTAGCTAAGGTTTAATATATTTGCTTTTAATATTATTTGTGCTATTGTTATTAACGCTAATAGTGAGAAACTTTCTACTAAAATTCTGGCTATTTTGTATTTGTGTGCATTTATTTATTTGCCTTTATCACTAAAACTACTTCTATTTTTACTCAGTTTTATTTTTATTTCATACTGTTTTCTTAACATGCTATTATTAATAATTTCATTCTTCCCATGTGGATGTCAAACATTTTTGAGTCTCTTAATCAAATTCCCCATATATATATATATATATATATATATATATATATATATATACTGTCAATCTAGTCTCTTCTGTATATTCAACAATCTGCAATATTCGGATACAACGATTGTGTTTCCATTACGATTATTAGCAGTAGTATTAGTGACAGCAATTTTATAACTACTATAAGTTGGTATTTTCTTATGTTTCATTTTGTGAGTTTTTCGTACGATGGTTATATATATATATATATATATATATATATATATATATATATATATACTTTATAAAGAATTGTATGTTTAGTATTTTAGATTCCTCTCATTCGTTCACTACGTATTTACACATGTATAATTGTTGTATTTTCCTCAGATAAGTATCCCTTCTTGTATTTATCATTTGACAGATATATGAATAAATCAAGTTTGTTATAGGTATCATATTTATACAGAAAATGATTAACAATGTACATTTTTTGATTAAATAAAAAATAAACATGTGTATGATTTTTAGCTATCAGCAAGAGTTTTTATGAGCGTTACTACTTGGATTATATCTACTAACTGCATCGCTCTTCAGTAATCACCGATGTTTGGACGTATCTCTTACTAGTGAGTAAAGTTAATACAAGAAACAGTGGATTTTTCACCGCTCCACAGGCCTGGCGTTTGTTAGTCACCCGAAGGATGATTTTAATATACAATAGTGCACTTCACATTACTTTACAGCTGTAAAATATTGTCTGAAGATTCACGATACTGCTCAACATATTGGTAATTGAGATACGTTCTGAGACTTCCTGGTTAGTGGGGCGGTAGTCATTTTCTGTTCTAGATGTTCAGTGATATGACTGGAAGTCTATCACGGTCCCGTTTTTTTATCCGCTTATAAGCCTTTAGTTTTGTGTAATTCTGGTTTCTCACTTACATTCGTCCGTCAAACCTGTACTATATATGTTTGAGTTTTACTACAATTCAGGTCTTGATAAGCCATCCTTTGGTCTTCATCTTATTATCTTTCATTTGCGTGTGGGCTGTGATACTGCCCGGGTGCCCAAACCGAAGCATGTGGCTATCTTAGGGAGCCTTTGACCTAAAGGTCTAACCCACAAGGCAGTGGAGCATCGTAAGGAGATGCATTCCCATTGTAGCCGGTGGCCAACGGTTGGTTCATACGCCATTTGTTCCCGCAGGATACTGGAGCCCATGTACACCATTGGCTTGGGATCCGGTTAAAGTGCCGGACATTCGCTTTTCGTCCTCTCATTTTCGTAAACAACACCCCGCCACGAGAAGGCAATGAGTAGGACTTCCCTGGCAGAGGCTGTATACGCGTGGCCGTGTGAGAGTATTTCGAGTGGGAGAGCGGAGTCTCGGCCGTACCAGGGCATTTGGGCGCAAATGATGAACTCTTTATATCTATGGAATCTACTTTTCTCGCTTCGAAAAACAATCAAATTATTATCATTACTATTATTGTCATTATTATTTACCACATTATTCACCCTCTTTTATACTTATACAGCGGCTCGTCTTTGGTGGAAATTCGACTGTATCTAAACATTTTCGAGTCACTGTCCGGTTGAAAATTGTATGTTACCATCGAATATGAGTACTGAAGCAGTTTTTCTGAAACCACGTGCACCATTCAAACTGGCTGCCTTCAACCTTCGCACACTTATGCAGGCTGGACAAAAGATAGGTCTGGCTATGTCTTTGGAAAGTCTTAATATCGATGTCTGCTGTATATCCGAGACCCGTATTCAAGACTCTGGTGAAGTACTACAAATTCGCTCTACATCTGTCACTTCAAAAAGCTTGTTTTACGTGCGCTTATCCGGGGACCCTGTGGCATCTTCGTCTGGTCTTGCTGGCGTTGGTGTCGCACTAAGCGCTAGAGCTGAGGCAGCACTAGTCGATTGGATCCCCATTAACAGTCGGTTATGTGCTGTTAGATTAGAAAGTTCCATCAAAGTGAGAAGAAATCGGCGTGAGAAACGATGTCTTTTCGTCATCTCCGCCTATGCCCCGACAGATTGCAGCCCGGATGCAATCAAGGATGAATTCTATCACCAATTATCAGTTCTTCTCCAGAAAGTGCGTTCGACAGATATTGTAGTACTAGCCGGAGACTTGAATGCTCAGGTCGGGCGTCTAGGCACAGTAGAGAGTCGTTTAGGTGGCCGATGGGGACTTTTTGGTCGCAGGACAAATAACGGGGACCGTCTACTGCAACTGTGCACAGACCACAACCTGTTTCTGGCTAGCACTAACTTTCGGCACAGTCATCGCCGATATGCTACCTGGCGTCCTCCCTCTGCATCTCAAGCCTGGACTCAGATTGATCACATCGCGATCGGCTACTGCTGGCGTGGTTGTGTACAAGGCTGCCGCTCCTTTTGGAGTACCTATCTGGACTCTGACCATGCCTTGGTCTGCGCCAATCTTACCTTACTTTTCAGTGGACAGCGAAGTGACCGCCACCAACGGATTGATGTTAGCAAGCTGGTTGCAACTTCTGTTGCTAGTAAGTGTCGAACCGAGCTAGTTTCTAGGCTAGCTACCATTCCACTAAAAAGTATAGATGAGTATTGGTTGCAATTGCATGACGCCATGAAAATGGCGGGTACAGTCAGTTGTGGGTTCGCGAAACGTCCCGCTTATGAGCACTGGGTTTCTTCAGGCTCCTTACAACTTATTGAAGCTCGTCGGTCTACTCCGGGTGACTGTGGGTTCGAACACAAACGAAGGATGTTACGTCAAGAAATTGGGCAAAGCTTGCGTAAGGACCGAGAAGCCTGGTGGTCCAAGCGTGCTAATGAGCTGGAAGCAGCAGTTGCATCTAGCAACTACCGGAGGCTCTTCCAGCTCATCCGAGCCACTGACAGCAAGAAGTCTGGTGTGAGTGAAACAATCTGCGAGGATGATGGAATGCCAATCACTAACGTCCATCGGCGTCTTGGACGATGGGCAGAATTTTTCGAAGGGCAGTTCAACTGGCCTGCTGCTCCGGCAACATCGGTCAGACTGTCCTGCCCTCCATGGCCGGTGACGACTAATCCACCAAATGAGGCGGAAGTCCGCACGGAACTCCAACTCTTGAAGCGTTACAAATCACCTGGTCCAGATGACTTACCTCCGGTTCTTTTTAAAGATGGTGGTGACTTTTTGACTAAGGAATTGACGACGTTGTTTACAAAGGTTGGGGAACTAGAGAGTGTACCAACGTCATGGAATGAGTCGATAGTTGTCCCTATCTTTGAAAAGGGTTCACGTCATTCCTGTAACAACTATCGGGGGATAAGTCTACTTCCGACTGCATCCAAACTGTTGACTTCCGTCATACTTCGTAGGTTGTTTAAAACCCGAGAAAGATTGACTCGCGAGGAGCAGGCTGGGTTTGTTCTGGTCGAGGATGTATTGGGTAGCTGCATAAGTGCTGGTGGGGATGTGAGTGATGAGATCAATGCACGAATAGTGAAAACCAGAGCGGCTTATGCAAATCTGGGCCACCTTCGGCGCCTTCGTGATGTTAGTCTGGCTGTAAAAGGTCGGATCTACAACGCGTCGGTGAGAGCAGTTTTGCTCTATGCTTGTGAAACCTGGTCTCTCCGAGTTGAGGACGTCAGACAACTCTCTGTGTCCGATCATCGCTGTCTCCGAAGGATTGCTGACATCCAGTGGCAACACCATGTCAGTAATGTAAAGGTTCGGCATCGTGTGTTCGGGCACAGAGATGATAATTCAATTGATGTCACCATCTTGAAACACCGACTTCGGTGGCTTGGACATGTTCTCCGAATGTCGTCCCAGAGAATTCCACGTCGTGCATTATTTGCCGACTCTGGGACTGGTTGGGAGAAGTGGGCAGTATATGACATGGTGTCGTGGTATGAAAGAAATCTGCAAAGGACTGGCTTGTGTTGGTCCTTCACGACTCCCTGGTTGGGGTCTGAGAAATGGTACCACACATTGGCTAGATACGTTATGAGATATGGCTCAGAATGGAAGCCAGTGGCGATCCTGCTGTAACCTTCTTTTACTTTCTTCATAAAAAGTGGTTCTGTCTCCCTTACCTAAAAGATTTCTTCTGATTGTACCTTTCCGTTCCCTCAGTACTACCACACTACCTTACACGAATCTGTTCGTTACTGTTCTCCTTCTTTTGCGCTCCTTACTTTTTTTCTTTTTTCTCTTCGGATTCTCATTGTTTAGTGTAGCGCATAAATATTGGCGCTCTCTTGTTCCAATGCTTATGTGTTCAAATAAGTAAATAATAATAATAGTCTTTCACTATCCCAATCTCTAAAAAGTTACATTTACCAAACCTGTTTTATGATTCCACTTTGAGTCTTCACAAGCCAACAACCTATTATATTAATTAATTACACCTGTTACTCCCAATGGAGCATAGGCTGCCGACCAGCATTCTCCAACCCACTCTGTCCTAGGCCTTCTTTTTTAGTACAATCCAATTGTCATTCATTTTTCTCATGTTTATCTCCATTATCAGAATTTCCCCTTATGATGACAGTAGCTTATCCTGTCGGTATAAAATGTAGTTGGCTTTTATCACTGACTGCGTGTCATCATTTGGACAATTTTTCTGTTAACAGATTTTTACTAATCTAGTAGATCATTATTTTTGCAGAAGAAGTTTCAGTTACTTACCAAGCATCACGAAAAAGTCCACCTTAATGTGTGTTTGATATAAGTAATGTAGTTTCTAATAAAATCTTATTCTATTAGGACTGCTAAATTCTGAATACACAGAAAATTAGTGATTTTGACTATTAACTATCTATTAGAAGGAATTTTACACAACATATTTTTTATTGGAAACGTCACAATATCTAACTATATTTACTCTAAAGATTATTTTGTTGACGCATATCAAATACATGACAATTTTAACAATGCAAAAGTAAGTTGGAATTAAGGCTTTCTTTTTCATCAGGCAAGTAATCATTTGCTAATTAACAAGCAACTAATGATCATACTAGTCAATACATTTATGTGTATATTACTTACATACTTACACCTGTTACTCCCAATGGAGCATAGGCCGCCGACCAGCATTCTCCAACCCACTCTGTCCTAGGCCTTCTTTTCTAGTTCTATCCAATTGTTATTCATTTTTCTCATGTCCGTCTCCATTTCTTTGCGTAATGTGTTCTTTGGTCTTCCTGTTCTCACTTACCCTTGAGGATTCCAAGTGAGAGCATACCTTGTGATGGAGTTGGGTGCTTTCCTCAATGTTTTCCCTATCCACTTCCAGCTCTTCTTCCTCCACTTGAATCTGGTTTGTTCTCTCCCACAGTTGGTTGTTGCTAATATTGTCCGGCCAACGAATCAGAAGTATTTTGCGTAGACAACTGTTAATGAACACTTGTGTCTTCTGGATGATGACCTTCGTAGTTCTACAGATTTCCGCCCCACACAGCAAAACTGTCTTGACATTTGTATTGAAGATTCTGACCTTGGTGTTGGGTGACAGTTGTTTTGAGTTCCAGATGTTCTTCAGTTGTAAATATGCTACTCTTGCTTTACCGATCCGCGCCATCACATTTGCACCAGATCCACCGTGTTCATCAATGTTGCTGCCCAAGTATATAAAGGCTTTTACATCTTCCAAATCTTCTCCGTCAATTGTGATTGGATTGGTGCATGCTGTGTTGAATCGGAGAATCTTGCTTTTCCCTATGTTTATATTGAGACCTACTGCTGCTACACTGGTCATGTTCGCCTGCATTTGTTGTTGCGTGTGCGATAGATGAGCCAGATCATCTGCAAAGTCTAGATCACAGCTGCACCCACCTGTTTTGTTGTTCTCCAATGGTGGTGATTACGTCGCCTTCTTTGATTTTCACTGGTCGTTCTGGTTTGCGGCGATTTCCAGAGAGTTTCTTTGTTGTGTCCTACAGTTGCTTCATGTTTTCTTCTCTTCCAGCCTTTTCCGCCGTCATTGCTAAATCTTCCACATATTTACGTTTGTCCGTTCTGATGCTCCTCTTCACTTGCTTGTTTACTTCTGTGTATTCAGCTTGTGTCTTGGCTTTCTCTGCTCTTGTTCGGCTGGTATTGATTGCTGCCTTCTTGTTCCTCCTTTCTTGAATCTTATCCAGTGTATCAACAGTGATCCGTTCCTTGTGGTGGTGCTTCTTGTGACCTAGGACCTCATGATATGTTGAAGTGATTGCCTTTTTGATCCCCTTCCAGTTGCTCTCCACAGTAGTTCCTTCTCCATTGAGTAGATCATGAAAGGCCTGGACTTTATTGCTGAGGGCTATCTTGAATTTGTTGAGTTTGTTAGTATCCCGAAGAAAGGCCGTATTGAACTTTTATGATATTGTCTGCCCCGTTGTGCAGTGCTTCTTGAGTTTCAATTTCACCTTGGCATCCGGCAAGTGATTATCTGATGCTATATCAGCTCCTCTCTTGTTTCCCATGTCTCCAGTCTCCCACATTGTACGATCATTATATGTACCTAAATAAATGGTTGCTCTGGTTGTCAGGATGGTTATCGGCTTCGTGACATCCGAAGAAACTCGGCCTTCATCATGAGGCGTCATAACTCTTCTAAATGTAGACCTTCTGACTCCCAGGGCAGAGTCCAAATTGTTTGAATAATTTTTTCTGAGTGGCGTTTTTTAACGAGTTACTTTTTCACGCGACGGAATCGCTAACTCCATGCACAACCCACCTCCTTTATCCGGGCTGGGGACCGGCAGTAGCCTCCGGTGGGGCTCCAGGCGGATTTAAACTACTATATAGAGGATAGTTAATTGTTTAGAGAAGATAAAAGTCCTGTGTTAAGAAAGCATTTAGCGTAGCGTTTCGACTAAGGGCTTCATCAGCCCTCATTGTAATGCATACAGTGTTTTTTAAATCCATAAAGGAGAAAATTAATCAAGATGATTCATGTATTGGTGATAACGTGCATTTGTGATCTTTCATTGTTTCTAGTTCCTGGCGTATTTGCAGCTACGTTTTGTGTCGGTCTTGCAACGTATTTTATTTTCAATACCGTTACTTACTTTATTTGGGAACACGATGTAGCCTCGTAATAGACATGCATATGTTAACTCAAGCGTTACGGTGTACAATCATGAAATAATCGAATAATTTTCATGGTCCTTAGAAAGCGATATCTTTTGTTCCCGTTAGTCCATATATGAAATTATGTTCATATTCAATCTGCTTTATTTTTATATATTAACCTCACATCTTATATCTATCTCGATCGTCTGATTCCCTCTACTTGCTCCTTGATACCGAATGCACCGTGCTTTTATAACTTCTACTTTGTTGGTTATGGGATTGTCTGCATATATAATTATCATGTCGCGAATTTCAGGGCACCCCACCTCGTAAAGTTTCTGTTTCTTTTAGTTCTTAAAATGCTATGCTTTCTGTGCAACAGTGTGAAAGCTTTGTAAATTACTACAACAAAATGGGAATATACTGTCGCTGTACATCAATTCAGAATCCAAAATATTCGCTACGAGTTTGTACAGATCGTTTTAAATCTTTGTGCCTGTATATGGTTGCTTTGGTACAGTTCAGTGTATTCGGTCGTAGTTATTAAGGAGCATTTTGCGAGACGTCAACCTTGTTATAAATCACCACATGCTTAGATTTTCGATAGGTTATTACATCACTGCTGGTGCTAGTTTTTTTCAAGTATTTAATCACAGGTGCGATTGTATTAACTCATCATATAACTCTGCTAGATTTGTTACTATTCTCGAGTCTGGTTAAGTGAGTAGGATTGGACAAAGAGTTAGCAATCATATGCTGCAGAAAGCATTTTTGCTAAAAAAAAACTTTAACTAAGTGTTGTGAGATCTTCGTTTAGAAAAAGTCTGACACCTAGTGGTGTAAGCCGAAATTTTTATGAAGTCACGCGTTCGATGCTTTTTCTTACAAACAGAACAATAGGGGTACAAGGAATATCTGAGCACTTTTTGAGACAGGTATGATCAATCGTACAGCTATGGAAATGAGGAGATAACTTTATGGTTGTAGGAGTAGGTGAAACACAATGAAATAAAACTAGAGAGTAAATGATAGATTCGGAAGAGATGCTGATGTACTCCGTATATGAAGAAAAAATGCTTCACAAGTACAAGGAGCTACTCTGATACTGTCCTGAGAAGTTATCGGATGGGTATTTCATGTATCAAAATCATTTGAGCACGCTTCAAAACAAAATTGAGGGATCCTAATAGATGTTTCTCAGTGCTATGCATTCATTGATGACAGAAATGAAGAAGATAAATGTCAGTTCTATGAGAGGCCAAATCGTGACTGGATAATACAGAATATGAAGATATCTTGGGATGGCATGGACTGACTGGAAGTAACAAACCAGAATGGTGACAGATTTTTGAATCCATGTGCAATCAGCAAATTGGTTATAGGGTGACCATATTTCCACAATAATGAATTCATAAATTTGCATGGATCACACTAATGATTGCCAGATAGATCTTATTTTCATCAGAGAAAAATTCTCAGAGCCAATGAACGACATGAGAACCATTATAAGAGCTGACATAGCTTCAAGTCACCGCCTGACGATAGGCTGTTGAAGATTTCCATTCATTTATAGTATTGGTATTTGCATCTTCGTCATACACGACGTGCTAAACAAAAAGCAAACGAAAACAGTCATTATTGTATAATATGGCAGGTGCAAGAATGATAATATGCAGGTAATTTTACATTGTGTTACGATATTTGAACTATGAAAGTGAGTAGTCGATTTTACATAACAAATGGTTTAAAACATTTTTATCTCTGCGGTACACTGAGACCATACTCTAAAAAGGTATTGAGACTAGTCTTGGTGACCTAATTTATAATACCGCAAGATTGGATGCTCAACCTTCGTCAACACAATGGCGTGCTTGAGAAAATCGACATCATACGGAATCTATAAGACGGACCACACGGCAAGGTCGTACACGGAGAACAGTTGACAGAAGCACTTCAAGTGAGGACGAGAGTCAGAAAAGGTTGCTTACTCTCGCCCTCATCCTTAATTCCGGTGGTTGACTGGATTATGAAAACCATATCTGAGGGAAAGCACGAAATGCAATGGACAGTATGCATGTAATTAGACGAGTTGGAATCCATAGATCCCTTAACTCTTTTATTTCATACACACGACTGAACTCATATCAAGAAAAGCAGTGTGGCAACAGCCTCTGCGTCAGTAGGCCTCAACAGAAACAAGAGACAAAGTAACATCCTCAAACACAACTCGGAGAATATCAATCTACCCAACCACACTTCATGAAGAAACTCTGAGAGAGGTGGAAACTTTCACGTACCTAACCAGGCAGCATCATGAATGAACAAGGAGGATCTGATTCAGATGCCAAGGTAGGATCGGTAAAACAAGGGCAGCATTCCTTCAGTTGAACAATATATGGGACTCGAAACAGCCATCAACCAATATCAATGTCAGAATCTTCAGTGTGAACGTCAAATGGTCTTGCTTTACGGAACTGGAACTTGGAGAATTACCACAACCATCATCATAAAGGTGCAAGTATATATAAACAATGGTTTACAATAGAAACCGAATGACAGGATAACATGAACAGCGATCTGCTGTTGGATAAAACAAGCCAGCTTCTAGATGATGGGTCAATTCGGGAAAGACGTCGGAGGTGGTGGATGGTACATCATCAAGATGCATCACGCGGCAAGCACTGGAATCGTGGAGGTCGAAAGAAAACAGGAAGACCAAATGACACATTGTGTCTGGATTTGGAAGTAGACATGAGAATAAAGGATAGCAACCAGGAAAGTCAGAGTTCGACGGAGAATACTGTTGGGCGGCCTGCGCTATTGCACGAGGATAAACAGGCTAATTATATCTGGATACTCAGAGTGTACAATAGAGACTAGTTTATGTTATATCAGAAACTGAATTTTAAGATTGTAGAATTTTACGCAGCGCTGTAGTATAAAGTTAAGCGCGTCAGCACTGCTCTGATGGATATTTAGACTGACGACAAAACATGATCAAAAGCATAGTGTTTGTTGTAATATATCGATAAGACCTAACCTAATATGTCAGTTAAGGCGCTTAGTTTGTGAGTTGCGTTGGTTGTCCCCGCGATTACCGGTGAGTGTTCAAGAAAGTGTTCTTTTTGTGTTTTGTTTGGGTTATCCTGAACGTTTATCGTTATTAGTAGTAATAATAAGCTCAATGTCGTTTCTCAGGGACCCAAATGACAAGTGTTCGTACGATGTCGACTCGACTACTTGTTTTCCGTATTTGGACTTACATTTTCGTAATAAATATCAATAACTCCGTTCAAGATTCCGTGCTACTAATTTTCTCAGTACATATATTTTAGCACAGCAGTTACACTCATAATTTTCGCCTTGTTAAAACGTATTCACCTACTACATATTACTGTCTTACACTTATAAACCTTAAGGGAGAAACGTGGTTCAAATATAATAAATTTCATATTACTTGACATCTCTCACTGAAAAAAATGCTCTGATATAATTTGTGAGCGTCAAGTGCCAAATAAATCGCTAAAAAGTGTATTTTCTATGGCATTATTCTATAACGAGGTTTATCGGTGGGACTATAATTAATGGGCGACCTTTGATCGACTCTGAAGTGAACATGAAAGTGTCTACCTACTTACTAGGGCTAAATGAGGGTCGTAAAGCAGTTCGAAGAATAGGGATTATGATTTACGGTTGATGGTTAGGGTTTCTTCATCACAAACTGACATCAGGTATAATGCCAAGAATCTATTTAGCTAAATGGGTTAATGAATTTAGCTCCAAAATCTATGACCTGTTGTCGTAAGTCTGATTGGCTCGTCCATAAATTATAATCTCGCCGCTTTATCATTTGTCATAGACCATTGATCCGCACATGAAATATGCACATATCCATCAAGTGATTACAGTAGAAATAGTTGGTAGTAGTCAGACGCTATGCCAGTTCAGTAAATTTGTATAATTGAAAAATTAATACATAAATACAACTGAACAAAAAGTAAGTAGAATTTCTGTACCGGGTGACAGTTTTGAAATGTTGTAAAATGATGGAATCTAAAAGTTAGTCTTCATGCATGTAGCTACTGAGTTGCACTTATAAGGTGTAGATACTCATCATCAACGCTATCCCTATTATTTTTAATGTACATAGGCGAAATATAGATTCAATTATATTGCCTAGTTGACTTTCTAACCCGTTAATACACTTATCACTATCTTACAGCTCGTTACTTGTCACATTAGAAGATGCTTTTGAGTCTTGGGATACTTTAGTTTAAGAATTTATCTTCAGATAGTCGAAACACAAGCCAATTATAGTAGCGCATTTATTTTTGATGGAGTTTTATTCTCTGAACTGAGTGGTTTGGTCGTGGAGCTTTCATCGTTCTGAACGATGTCATTAGCACAAACTTCAGATAGAAGGGCATTTATTTCTACCCAAAATCAGTTTATTCTGTTCCTTCGAAGATGACTAGGAATCCGTCGTACTACTCACTCCACTTTTCTATGTAGACATTTTGATACGTTATCGTTTATGAAACCCTATATATATATATATATATATATATATATATATATATATATCCATAAACCTCGGAGTTTGCATTTGTAAACTTCGTAAGTATAGTGGCATAAAGTCACGTTTAATCGGTTTCTGTGTCATGTATCAAGCTTTTTCCTGCTTCCTTAACGTTAAAATGATATTTAGATGCATCAGGTGTTGTCTTATACCCTTATGCTTTTAGATAAACATCCTAAAGAATTATGTAAGACTGTAATTTAGGGACGAACAAATCAGATTTAGTACAAAAAGGCCTGGATGTTGGCGCGAAGCCCATGCATCCAAATGGATAAATAGCATTTCTATGTTATAGCCAATGTCATTTCATTGTGATATCCCTTGCCATAATTCCTAACCCTAACACTAACTACAGATTCTAATCACTCACACTTGGACAAAGTTGCGTCTAACCTAAACCTGTCTATACAGGTAGCTACTTTTCATGGCACCACATTAAAGGAAAGTGTGTAACACTAATGATATCGAGATGACTGAATAGCTCGAAATGCAAAGAAAAAGTAAATACATGAAATCAAGGTGTCGGTTGTATGAAAATATACTATTTTCAAGACCTACAGAGATAATTATTCTCTGCATTATTCTGATTAATTTTTAGATATGTCACTTAGAGCGCAAAAGGTTTCCAAGCTTTAGAGGTACTAGGGGAACGTAAGCAGCATTTGCTAGTTTCTAACTTTATTATATAAGCGCATCTATATTTTGCTGTAAGTCCCCTGAAATCCTGCCATCTACGTAATGCCCGTGGTCTCGAAAATGTAGGGTTATTTGGTAGCCATATAAAGTTTATTTGTTATGTCCCGACCGTTGTTGCTATCTTGACGTGGTGGTCGGGCTTGCCTATCGTGATGAAGCAACCGAGCTATACTGGCTGGAACAACCGTTCCTCAAGGTCCTACCATGTCAGACAGGTCGGTTGAAGAGCGGTAAGACTAAAAGCAACAAACCCAAGGTCCGAAGGCGAAGTCGTACTGCTGACTGTACAGAGGTGTGACAGCAGTAAGGTGTTTCCTTCAGACAACCAGCATGACAGCGATGCTGCCTTCCCACAAGGAGGGGTGGGGTTAGAAAAGGTCGACCCTAAAAATGCACACCTCGCCTTATCCCACGGATATCCGTCTCCGGCGGTAAGGTCTCAATAAGTACGGAGCTAACACAAAAATTACCCATAACAAGGTCGTATGTGACCGACCTCAAGCAGTTGTCCCTTGGGCACTGCGGTCACACTCTCAGGTCACTAAGACCACCTTTAATCCAAATTCCTTTTCAGGTACCCCCGGAACAACCCTTCCACGGTGTGGGCAACCGGGAAGTGAAAACCGCCCTCATACCTCTAACAGCACTCAAGACCACTGTATTCATAATCAACCTTCCTCTTCAATTCCTATTATTCCTCCTACATCGACTTTCAACTTTAAATTTCCTCTCTCGGCTTCCACCTCAAGTGTCACCATAGCCAACGATTCTAGTGCGCAAAATACTGTCCCAGGTCTACTGAAACCTCGCTCCAAACTACACATTGGAGCCTTCAACGTACGAACCCTATGTCAAATCGGTCAGCAGGCTTCCTTGGCTAAAACCCTAGAGTCTCTTACCATTGACGTGTGCTGTGTCTCCGAAACACGCATACAGGATTCCAGTGTGGTCATTCACTTGACCTCACCTCGGCAAAACGGAGAGCCAACGAGGTACACCCTTCGTGTATCTGGTGACCCGATGGCAAGTTCTCGTGGACTGGCAGGTGTAGGCATAGCACTAAGCATGAGGGCCGAACAAGCACTGCTAGAGTGGATCCCCGTCAACAGTCGTCTATGTGCTGTTCGGCTGAACGGCTACGTAAGAACTCGGAAGGATAGGAACACACGTCGTTGCCTTTTTGTCGTTTCTGCCTACGCTCCCACTGACTGCAGCTCAGATGATGTGAAAGACGAATTTTACAGAAAGCTGTCCGAACTTCTTCAGAAAGCTAAACGCTCAGACATAGTACTCGTAGCAGGTGATTTTAATGCTCAGATAGGCAGTTTAAACCAAACAGAAAGGCATTTAGGTGGATATTTTAGTATTCCGACACAGCGAACAGATAATGGTGATCGTCTGCTGCAGCTATGCTCAGACAATAGTTTATTTTTAGCAAACACAAATTTTAAGCATAAGGAGAGACATCGTCTAACATGGCGACCCCCTACACCAAACCAACGATGGACTCAAATAGACCATATTGCCATCAGTCATCGTTGGAGAGGGTCGGTAGAAGATTGTCGCTCATTCTGGAGTACCTGCTTGGACTCCGACCGTGCCCTAATACGGGCACGCATCTGCTTGCGCCTCACTGGACGCAAAAAAGCCACATTAAAAAGACCCGTTAGAACTGAGTTAAGTAACGAGAAAACCAAAAGTAGGTTCCAGGAACAACTGAGGTCACTCTTAGGTAGTTGTGAAGACGAGGCTGACCCAGATGTTGCTTGGAAGGGCATACAATCAGCTGTGGAAACAGCAGTGACATCTATTAGTGACTTAAACCACAGAGTTGTAAGGAACCAGTGGATTTCTCCAAGGTCTGTCACACTGATGGATTCTCGCAAACTCGTCCCATCAGGTTCTGAACATGATGAAGAGCGAAAACAAATCAGATCTAGGTTAAGAAAAAGTCTAAGAAACGACCGTGAGCAGTGGTGGGCATCGAAAGCAAAAGAGATGGAAAAGGCGGCGACTATAGGGAACACAAAACAGCTTTACAGACTAATAAAAGAAACTGGAATTAATAAGTCAAGTGTAAGTGAGATTATATCGGAAAAAGACGATACACTCATCTGCTCCAAGTCCAGGCGTTTAGAACGATGGGCGGAACACTTTAGGGAACAGTTCAGCTGGCCTTCAGCTACTCTACAACTGCCCTCCATTCCCAGACAGTGTGAATGGAACATTGAAGTAGGTACCCCGACTCTTACTGAAGTTCAAAAGACTATAGTTAATCTGAAACGAGGAAGGGCAGCTGGTCCAGATGGATTGGCTCCAGAGGTCTTTAAGGATGGTGGTCCAATTTTAGCGATTAAGTTGACTAATATTTTAGCTAAGATCTGGGAATTAGACTTTATCCCATCTGACTGGTCGCAATCACTTATCGTCCCAATATATAAGAAAGGGTCAAAATCATCCTGTGACAACCACAGAGGGATTAGTTTAACAAACATAGTATCTAAAATACTGGCCTCGATAATTATCAAACGCCTAACTAAGACTCGTGAACTACAAACTCGAGAGAACCAAGCTGGCTTTAGACCTGGTCATGGCTGCATCGACCACATATTCACCATTCGTCAGGTTCTAGAACACAGGCATACCTATCGGCGTCCGACGATGGTGGTATTTCTCGACTTAAAAGCAGCATTTGACTCGGTAGACCGCGAGACTCTGTGGCAGTGTCTGTCATTGAAAGGCGTACCTCAGAAGTACATAAACCTTGTGAAGGCTCTTTACTCGAACACTACTAGTCGAGTCAGAGCTTATGGCGAACTGTCATCTACTTTTGCAACTTCAAGTGGTGTCCGTCAAGGCTGTCCACTTTCTCCATTTTTGTTTAACTTCATCATAGATCTACTGATGGAAATAACTTTCTCGTCGACTGAGTTCTCGGGTATTGATCTCCATCCAGGAGGTCCACTTATCGACTTAGAATACGCAGATGACATAGTCCTGTTTGGTGAAGACGCTGACAAAATGCAGAGTCTTCTGGCAGCACTAAGCAACAATGCCAGAATGTTTGGGATGCGCTTCTCTCCCTCTAAATGCAAGTTGTTGCTTCAGGACTGGTCTGGGTCAACACCTGAACTAAGGATAGGGAGTGAAGTAGTCGAACGCGTTGACAACTTCACTTATCTTGGATGTCTGATCAGCCCTAATGGGTTGGTGTCTGACGAAATCTCAGCACGGATTCGAAAAGCTCGTTTGGCTTTTGCCAACTTACGTCACCTTTGGCGAAGGCGAGATATCCGTCTATCAATAAAAGGACGAGTATACTGCGCGGCAGTTCGTTCTGTTTTACTTTACGGCAGCGAAACATGGCCCTTAAGAGTAGAAGACACCCGTAAGTTACTAGTATTTGACCACAGATGCCTTAGAAATATTGCTGGCATCTGCTGGGATCACCGGGTAAGTAATAGTGAGGTTAGACGCAGGGTATTAGGGAATGATGGTAAATCAGTTGATGAGGTTATGAATCTTCATCGACTGAGATGGTTGGGCCACGTATTACGTATGCCTGAACACCGATTACCACGACGTGCAATGCTAACCGGTGTAGGGGATGGTTGGAAGAAAGTAAGGGGCGGCCAAACCAAAACGTGGCATCAGTGCCTGAAGTCACTAACTTCTAGTCTGAGCCATGTTGGTAGATGCAGACTACTTGGTTGGGGTCCGCGTGACTTTCGTAACCAATGGTTGGAGACTCTTGGTGACATGGCTCAGAATCGATCACAATGGCGTCGGTGTATACACTCCCTGTGTTCTTTTAAACTAAGAGACTAAAATCACTTCATTCTTTCTGTCTACGAACTAATTCTTTCTTCCTATACTATATCCTTATTGCAACCTTTGACCTAACCACTCCTATGAATCCGCTGTTCATCTTGCTGTGCTAATGAGGTATGGCAACCTGGACCGATGCACATATGTGCCTGGTCCTACGTTGTAGCTGACTGACTGACTATTTGTTATGTTGATTGATAAGTCCCTGTTGATATTTTATGTTCTTCATCAAACTGCAAACTATTTTAACAAGATATAATGGGTTTCTTCATATTAATCAGTGATATTAAGGTTGTCAATAATTTCCTGCTCTTGCCTAACTTCACTTTTACAATGAAGCACTGGACGACTAACGGTAACATACTGATTGACTTTCCATTTAAGGCACATTTGGTACTAACATGACTAGCAATCTTGTCCTTTGTCTGTAAGACAATCAGTCAAGCAATAAATTCGCATATGGTTACTATATGTGCATCCTCTGCTGCTCAATAGTTAAATCAACTTCTTTTCTAGAAGTGGCGTTATTTTACTTTTTATCAGATCTACTCAGTCATGAAACAATTAGCGAAGAGCTTTATTCCACGTAGAGAATCTAAAAAGTCTGTCTGAAGCTATGGCATTATGAATAGCTCTTGCTTTTGCATATTTTTTAAGTAGATGTGGTGTTTTGAATTTTGTATGACGAGTTTCTGGCATATTCGTAATTCAGTATACGAAAGCCAACATATTTTTGGAAAAGTATCTTGTACAATTTTTCCAAACTTTATTAAAATAGAAATCACCAGTCTCATACAGTTTCATTTACTAGGTCGTGAGCTACCCCTTTTCCGTGTATCAATGTTATCCGGTTCCTTAAACGCTTGATAAAGTGAATCTCTGTCCGAACCGTAACACTATGATTGGAGTTTAAATTCCTTAATTCTATGTCGAATGGGTACTGTACACTATATCTCATTATAATGACCAGAAGCCTCTGTTCTTGAGTCTTCTCGGGCTCAATGAGATAAAAATGATGAAACCATGTCAACGTAAGGATTCATTTGCTGTAATTTTACCATATTTACAGGCGCATAGTAATTCAGATTTCGAATTTGTTCTGTTACCTTGTTCACATTTGTATGTTTATTGGTTTATTTCTAATCAAACTTTCTTTTCCGCTAAGTTTTTATCCAAAATGAGTGAACTGGACCAGCTACGGCAAGAAAGTGAACAACTGAAAAATATGATCAGGGTAAGTCTGTTAGTAAAAACTTTCTGAAGTCTGTGATTTTGTTATATCACCTATAGTCAGACAGTTAATATCAATGTATTCTATGGTCGCATTTTCTTTAAATTAAATTCTTGAGAATATATAAATACCTCAATGTAGTTCTTTTTCGAGTCAAATTCTGAGTGTTTAATCTTCCAGATCACCATTACTACCATATTACTTCAATCTCTCTTAAAATTCATCATATCGTTTTCATTTCCTCGTGCTAATACGATGTGAGAACTTAAGCCAACTCAAATTTGTGCCATGCTCTATATCAATGTTTGTCTGTCTGTCAGTGTGGTTTTTATGGAAAGCCGAACATTGGCTTCGAGCCGCATTACTCATGAATATTTGTTTTTGTCTAGGTATAAAACAACTCTTTTCCGTTTCTATGTTAAAAGTCTAAAAACTATGGATCCATGAAAATATCAAAAGTGCTTTCTCGACTAAAATAATCGTGATGAGTACAAAAAACGTTACTTTTAACGAAATCAATCTCATCTATGTTGCCAGGATTTATTGTGTAATATCTTTTACGCCACCATATTTCTAGGTCTCACAACATTTTTCATTACCTAATTGCAGGTTATATTCCTGTTACTCACTGTTTTGGTTGATTCAGTAGTTCAAAACTACTTCAGTTATCTACAATTTTGTCACATTTTAATTAATTTAGATATCCACTCGTTTCTCTGTTAGATGTAACGAATGAACCCTCAAGTGGGGACGACTGCATGTCAGTCAGTCAGTCAGTCAGTAACAACGTAGAACTTCGTACGTACGTACATCAGTTCGAGTTGCCATACCGCATTAGCATAGAGATGCAGTGGTCGATTCAAATCCCGTAGTGGTAGAGGTAATAAGAGCATAAGCAGTAATCGGGAAGATTAGTGTTTGGAGATGTTATTTAAAGAGTATAATACAGTGAAGTAAATTTGAGAGGAGAAAAAAAGAGACAAGGAGGAATAAGGAGATCAAAATTGGGGAGTGTATGCACCTGCGCCATTGCAAACGATTTTGAGCCATGTCATTCAGGGTCTCTGACCATCGGTTGCTATCATCTCTCGGTCCCCAACCAGGTAGTCTACACCTACCGACATGACTCAGACCACTTGTCAGTGACTTCATGAACTTGTGCCATGTTTTGGTCTGGCTCCCCCTAGCTTTCTTCCAACCTACTCCTATTCCACTGAACATCGCACGTCGAGGCAGTCGGTCGTTGGGCATACGTAACACGTGTCCAAGCCATCTCAACTGATGAAGTTTCACTACTTCATCAATTGATTTGCCATCCTTACCTAGTACCCGTTTCCTAACAACTGCATTACTTACTCGATGGTCCCACCATATACGAGCAATATTTCGAAGACACCTATGATCAAATACTAGTAGCCTACGAATATCCTCTACTCTTACCGGCCATGTTTCACTGCCATAAAGTAGAACGGAACGAACTGCTGTGCAGAAAACATGTTTTTTTTTTGGTTGATAGACGGATATCTCGCCTACGCCATAAATGACGCAAGTTGGCAAAAGCTAGTAGAGCCTTCTGTATCCGTGCTGAGATTTCGTCACACACCAGACCACAAGGGCTGATGAGACTTCCCAGATAAGTGAAGCGATCGACACACTCAACTACTTCACTCCCTATCATTAGTTCGGGTGTCAATGTAACCTAATCCTGAAGCAATATTTTGCATTTTGAGGGGAAATCGCATCCCGAACATGCTCTCATTGTTGCTTAAAGTGGTCAGAAGACTCTGCATTTTGTCAGCGTCTTCGCCAAATAAAACTATGTCATCTGCATATTCTAAGTCAAAAAGTGAACCTCCCGGTACAAGTTCAACCCCTGGAAATTTAGATGAGGAGAGTGTTATCTCTAAAAGTACGTCGACCACAAAGTTGAACAAGAATGGGGAGAGTGGACAGCCCTGACGAACACCACTTGAGGTAATCAATTCTGATGACAGTTCGCCATAACCTCTCACTCTACCAGTTGTGTTCGAGTAGAGAGCCTGTATAAGGTTAATGTACTTCTTTGGTACTCCTTTCAGTGACAAACTCTGCAACAAAACCTCACGATCAACAGTCAAATGCCGCCTTAAGGTCGAGAAATACTACGATTGTGGGGCGTCTGAATGTATGTCTGTGTTCTAGAACCTGACGTAGTGTGAATATCTGATCTATACAACCACGTCCAGGTCGAAAACCAGCCTGATTTTCTCTAGTCTGCTCTTCACGAGCTTTGGTTAGGCGTCGAAGTATTATTGAAGCTAATACTTTAGACACTATATTAGTCAAACTGATTCCTCTGTGACTGTCACAAGAGAACTTTTGTCCTTTCTTAAAAACTGGCACAATCGGTGATTGAGACCAGTCAGATGGGATTACGTCCAGTTCCCAAATTCTACCTAAGACCTCGGTTAATCTCACTGCTAATACTGAACCACCATCCTTAAAAATCTCAGGAGTAAACCTGTCAGGGCCTGCTGCGGAATCTGGGTTTCCAGATACACGAAGTGTGAATCGAGTCGGTTCTTTATCTTGGCATGATGAGGTCAGATGAATGACGCTACTCGAATCCTGTATGCGCGTTTCGGAGACGCAGCACACATCGATGGCGCGGATTCTAAAGTTCTAGCTAAGGAAGCCCGATGTCCAATTTGGCACAGTGTTCGAACGTTATAAGCCCCTAGATGTAGTTTGGAACGTGGTTTCAGGAGACCAGAAATAGCGTTCCGCGTACTCGAATCGTTTGCCCTAGCGGTGGGAGATGATAAAGAGACGTGAGAAGGGTTATTCATGGAGATAAGAGAGGTATTAAGAGGTGTAGGAAGGATTTGAATGTGACCAACTTGGTCTCGTGTGCTGTTACGGGTACGAGGGCAGATATCACTTCCCGGCTGCCCACACCATGGAAGGGTATTTCTTGAGGAACCTGCAAAGGAAATTGGGTTAGTGTTGGTCTTAACGACCTGTGGGCGTGACCGCAGAGCCCAAGGGACAACTGCTTGAGGCCGGTCGCGCACGGCCTTTTCGTGGAAGGTTTTTGACGTGTTAGCTCCGTTCTTCAAAGGGTCTTACCGCCGGAGACGGAAATCCGTGAGGTAAATTGAGGTGTGACATTTTTAGGGTCAACCTTTTCTAACCCCTTCCTTCCTTGTGAGAAGGCAGCATCGCTGTAGATGCTGGTTGTCCGAGGGAAACACCTTACTGCTGTCACACCTCTCTACAGTCAGCAGTACGACTTCGCCCTCAGACCTTGAGTTGCTGCTTTTAGTCTTACCGTTCTCCAATCGACCTGCCTGGCATGGTAGAACCTACAGGAACATATGTTCCAGCCAATATTAGCTTGGTTGGGTCATCACGATAGGCAAGCCCGACCACCACTTCAAGGTAGCAGCTTCGGTCGGGACGACTGCATGTATGTTAGTACATTACAGAATATTTTGGTCAAGTATGAGAACTATACATTGAATACTTCATTTGCAAAATTTCATTATTTGTCTTTCACATTCGGTATGATTCTACGAAGTCACAATTCGTTTTTATTTCCGTTTCTGTTTTTTTCTATAACTTGATCTTAGTTATCTGCTGCCAGGTTTTTACTTCCGATGTGTTACACACTACTCATATTTGTCGACATAAATAACATACACCACAGATATCCTTCATATTTGCCACGCTCGAAGTGACCATTTTAATCTGATTTTTCCCACTGCGAATTTCCATTCACAGTAGTTATTAATTTAAATGTCTTCCTTGGTTTCCTATAAGCCTTAACAAGATTTATCTTTTGTGTTAACTGGAGCTTAAAAGAAAACAAAAAGTGCTCACCATCAAACGAATCAGGGCTAAAAGTATTTCATCATACAGTAAACACGTATCTATCATTAAAGTGCTTGTTTAATCTTTCTTGAATGTGTAATGTTTCCATATTTCTTCCTTCGATGTTGATTTATTTCCTTGATTATTTCAAACATTGCTATTAATTTCCCGTCAGCGCTGTTGAAATGCATGACTAGTTGAATCGGTGGATTGCTGTTTGATATGCCACATTACTAAATCAATTTATCAGCCAACTTACTTTTGCTTTGTAAATAATTTTAGTGGCTAATTCGGAATGTACATTCGTGATTCTTCGAAAAATGTGAATTTAATAGAATATAGATTTATTTGAACCAATGGTTAGTATGTAAATTTACTTAATTATAGAAGAACACTACTATCATGATAGCAATTTAGAAGCTATATTTTCTCATCAGAATTTGGCAGATTTGTTCCTTCGGTAATTATTCGTTTATGAAACTCACTTTACACACTTATAGACATGATAATGTGTAAGAATTGCGGTAAAAGTTCAGTTGTTTTTAACAGTGTAAACCGGTATTCACTTTTTGAGGCCATAAGGTCATATAAAATTAGTTAGTTCGAAATGTCACTGATATCCATAGCTTATTTGTATTTTTAAATATTTTTTAAATTCAGTTTTCGGTCGATGTATAATTCACCGTGATCAAAACGTATAATTCGTAGTGGATAAAACTCGATTTTTTAAGTTATGGAAAATAATGATATGAATATCGGCTTTCATTGTTTATGATTGCGCTTATTCCCAATATCCAGTGGTTTCTGTTCATTTTCTTCCAGTTCAATGTATTAATTATTTTTTTCTATTCAATTAATATATTAGGCATTAAAGTTTCCTCTAATTCAAGGGTTTAAACCCTGATCCATGTACTTAATCCTGAACGTTCATAGAATATCCATTGTATTTCCATCAGTAGGTTTTGTTTATAGTCTTATAAATTAGACCCTTCGTAGCTGTAATGTTGCTATCATGTACTATATTTTCAAGGGCTGACTTACTATATACTCGATACAACAGTGATGCAACAATTTAATTTTCGTTTTTCATCATATTACGCAGTCAAATATCAAGTTTTACTCCCCATCATTCCTTAACCTAATATATGACTAAAAATGTTAATATGTTGTCTGCCTCATTTTGTTCCTCTATAACTGAACGTGTCGTTTATAAGATATAACAGTAAACGCGTAAATTTACTACGAGGGACTAAGTATTATTGATGGATCGGTTTCAATTTTGATTTCCATGATAACTTATCAAAATTTATTCCTTGAAAAAACAGACAACTTTTATTCGTATAAATATGTAATTCAAGCAGAAACTTCTCTAATCGTCTTGGAAACTTCAGAATTCCTCTTCTGTGCATCCTGAACATCTGAAATTTCGTTAAAATTGTTAGTATGAACATTTTTAAACTATACTTCTTACTTGTAAAATTTGACATGTACTAAATGGCATTTACGTGATTTAAACAGCCAGTCTTACTAAAACTGCTTCTCTGTACTAAGCTACTCACGGTCATGTTGAGTAAAAGATTACATAGTTTGGTAACCGCACGTAATTTAGAAAATGAAGTATGATTTTTTAATTCTTTGAATCAAGTACAGAAAATAACTTCAGATTCCCTCACCGGACTACTATGGATACGACGATCGACTTATTATGGTTTGTTTAAATCCGTGAGTTATGTATTCATTAGTATAGCTACATGAATAGGGAAATCAAACGTTTGAACACTTGGATAAACATAAGTGATATATTTTTTGAACCTGTTGTTACGGAAGCATAATCTTTATTTCCATTCAGTGCTCTCGAATTTCCTGGCACTTTTAAGCTACACAAAATGAATTCAACGACCCAACTTCGCTTTTGTTTTAACGTACACAAATTCATATACCTAGTTCTAGTGATATTTATTCACTGAAGCTGGTATTTTGCATCTAAAAGAGGATATTATGCTTGGTAGCTGCAAAGAATAATGATTTTCAAAGTTTTCACATTTTTCTGCATAAATAGATAGCAGTGTACAAGTAGTTGTTGTTCAGACAAAATTAAGTTAGAAAGTAATATCATTGAATAACAGTTTATATGTTGTGTAAGTAATAAATCAACATTTTGCCACAGTCAGAATAACCTAGTTGGCATAGATCTTATTTAGTTGCTCGAGGAAAATCATATGCATAAATTGGTCAGTTGATCAATATATAGGAGGTATTTAACGACTAAACCTGGTTTATTGTGGTTGGGTAAGTATACATAGCGTACAATTGATGTGTCTTAAATTGACGAGATTCACTCCTGGATTCATTTTCAATACATGGATACCACAATTCTCCTTTGTCTCTTATTCCTGACAACTCCAAGGACGAATCCGTAGTGAAAGGTTTATTTAACAGAAGGCAATGAAAACTGATATAAACTAGTGACGCATTCAAATTTCATGTACAATGGCCTTGGAAATAGGGAATAACTTTGGAACACTGAAAGAGCGGCGGTTGTTTAATAAATTAGCTACGCACGTCTAATAACTATCTACTTCAATTATCCTTTCTGTTCGATATGAATGTAGCATGGTACTGGTCTGTGTATTATGTGTTGATTATTGATTTCAGTCACAGTGGAAACTGAAACCTGCTTAGATTTGTTGTTTACCATTATAACTGAGATAAATTGTAAATTAATACGACTCTTCCAAGTCAATGCTAATATTATTAGGATGAGGTATTGTGGAGATTGTGGTAATTTTAATAATTGAATTCATGAGCCGAAGCCGTAACTAGTGGAGTCCAATCCGTAAGATCATGGATTTATTGAAGTTAGACATCAACATGGTTAGATGCCGGCTCAGTGGTCTAACGATTACGTGTTCGCGCCTGAAACCGAAGGTCTTGAGTTTGAGTCCAACATGCTGTGTCATAGGTGCGCACTACTGATGAGTCCCGTGCTAGTAAGAAACAGCCATCCAATGCTTCTAGGTTTTCAATCGTGGTCTAACCTAGATCGAATCATGAATTCAACTATTTAAATACCAATGTTGATATATTCACTGTTTACATTGTTTTATGACTTAAATACTCTATCACTCGAACTCAATTCACCGAAATTATCAACAAAACTTGTAATAGTGTTGTTAATTATGTAAAAAATATATATGGTGATGTCCTTTAAATTATAAAGAATATTTAACTATGCCTATGGCTTAAAATATATGACTATGGTACAGTTTCAGTTATACCGCTTGATTCTGTTCAGTGTACAAATTCAGTCACTACAGGGAAAGTAGTAATGTTCAAGAATACAATTACAAAATGTTTAAAATGGGACTCGAATACATTAATTGTTCATCGTTCGTTCACAACAAGACAGATAATGAAGGCTGATTTTCATAGGAAAGCTTGATTGTCTCGAGAAGAGAAAAAATATTACATTATCATCGTGCAGATAATTAGCAAGGTGTATATTATAAATATTACTAGCGCGAATGTATGTCTTTGTATTTTTATTTATTGTTCGACTGAACGGGAATTGAACATCCTTTATTTCATTCGTGAATACTTCTCTAATATTCTTATTATTCTTCAACCGTATACGTGAATTAGTTTACTGTGAATAAAGTTAGTTGAAAATCCTTTTATCTTATCGATACTTTATAAGCCTCTGCCTTAATCTAATCTCCGGTTTTTTATTAAGTAAAGGTGGATTTAGTTGGCTCTGAACTACAATATTATGGTAAAGGCAATGGGATCAAAGTAGGTAGTTCGTATTCTGAACTTGTAACTGGTTTAAAGCCAAATATTTTAATCAACAAACTACCACTACGTAGCGTAGGTGTAGATTATTTGGGTGAGGTGTAGAAATATTTATAGTTTTTTAAAGGAAATATTTAAGTTGTTGAAATTGATAAGATTTAAAGTGTTCAAACTTTTAAAAATTATAAACTGTGTAATTTTCTTCTAATGACTGAAAAATATATTTCATAATATTTTATCTGAATATAGTAATTTATTTTTTCACAGTAAATAGAAACCTTTACTTCTCTGTTGAATTATAGTCTACTAGTCAGTTTGTTTTTGTCTATATTATTGTTATCGACTACTTTTTTTGTTTGCTAGGAGGCCCGCAAAGCTGCAGCTGATACTACGCTACTTCAAGCATCTAGTAACGTTGAGCCGGTAGGACGAATTCAGTTGCGTACTCGTCGTACTTTACGCGGCCATTTGGCCAAAATTTACGCTATGCATTGGAGCACTGATTCGCGCAATCTTGTATCTGCCTCACAAGATGGCAAACTTATAGTTTGGGATGGGTATACTACTAATAAGGCAAGAATAAGTTTGTTTAGAAAATATAAATATACTATACAGAATCGTAAATTATGTAAATATTTTCATCTAATTTCTTGTATTTCATGTAATTCAGTATTGTCGTAGTTCGTATCTGCTGTATCCCTACTTAATTATTTTAAGTGAGATTGACATTGGGAGTCCGAAAACTTTTTTTAAATTGAATGTATTTATTTTAACAATGTTTTTTGGATCCACGTTGTTTTCTGTGTGCTTGTGTTGACTATATTTACTTTTTTAAAAATTATTTAATCAGGTCACCATCTCAGAAACTTGTAAGTTCATCAAGTAGATTGATAATGTAAGGATGTAGTATTCATATCTTAAGGTAGTTTTCATTTTTAATTAGTTGTTTGTTACACATTCCAGCGTTTTATCGTTATCTGTGCAAGTAATGACTAGTTTCTATTTCATGTCAAAATTCTGTTGTAGGTTCATGCCATTCCTCTAAGAAGTAGTTGGGTCATGACCTGTGCCTATGCACCTTCCGGTAATTATGTCGCATGTGGTGGTTTGGACAACATTTGTTCCATTTACAATCTTAAAACACGCGAAGGTAATGTACGTGTCAGTCGTGAGCTTCCGGGACATACAGGATACTTATCATGTTGTCGTTTTCTTGATGATAGCCAAATTGTGACAAGTTCTGGTGATGTTACTTGGTATGTGTCATGTGATTCACTCAATTTTTTCTTGTGTTCTGCTATTAAAAGAAGTTCGTTACATTTAACTCTGATTTATTTACTATAATTTCACTTTGTAATTAGTTTACAAGGTGCATCACAATCTCTATTCATTAGGAATGACTACTAATTACCAAGAGATCTTTGACAAGAATCGTCTGATTTTTAAACCACATAGGTAACTATAAGATCCGTGGAATTACATTGATTTTCAAAAATATATTATCACTTTTGGGTAACAGAATTAGTAAGAAAGGAGCTATCTTGATAGTCGTTTGTCACATTAAGCCAATAGTAAGATATTAAACATGCTTAAATCTTTAGTTATTTTCTTCCAAATAAAAGTTGTATTAGCCTGATGATACGTGTAGCTTAGTATAAAAAATTAAGCCTTCAGTTGTTAGTGAAAATTAGCATTCATTTCTAATTTTTGGTATAGAGTACAGTATACAGTATCATTTTCTATAAAAGTATTCATTCAGTAAATGTTTTTGGAGCAATGAACTTTAAAGCATATCAGTTGCTTTCATAGAATCTAATATACACAGACAGCTATCTATTATTTCCTTACTTCGGTTTGGGCACCCGGGCAGTATCACAGCCCTCACACATATCGACTGAGATTTGTGTGGCGCATATGTATTTGGTGCCTTCTTGTACCAATATCTATGTGTTAAAATAAAAAATCTATTATTTCACTTTTAAGCATTACTGTTAACAACCTATAAATATATGTAAGTTAAAATCTTAGGTATGGTTTGCAAACGTCATCCCGGTGAATTTCATATCACACTCTCTCTAACTCTGAACCTAGGTGAGAAGGAAATCAGTTTATGGCATGTACTTGTGGTATAAAAGAAGTGACTGTATAAGATTGGGACCCTTGTTTGTGGCCAACAGTGACTTAAGAAGTTTCAGAAGTTGGTAGCGATCCTGCTGTAGCTTCACGTCAAATTTCTCTTGAAAATAAGATTACCGTCCTCGGCTGGAAGAGATCTGTTGCAGTTTTACTTTCAGCGAGACTATATTTTCGTCAAGGATCCTCGTTGTTTATTTGTATAGTGATTTTACGATTGTTGTCTTCTTTTTTTGTTCAATTTACTGTCACTTCTTTTGCGAATGTTTCTTTTGTGCCTTACTGCATCAGGTATACTGTGCTATAAGTCAATAAATAAATAATGACAGTGGTGAATGTGCATTTGGTTTCACCAGTCTGATTATGAAATTATTGGTCTCACATATTTTTACTTTTTATTCTCCGGTTTAGTTCATTATCCAATGAATAATACAATGTTGAATTTTGGCTAACCCTAACCACTCTACTACTCTGGCAGAGATCACCTCGGGGTAGACAGTAGCTAGGAATGAGCTACACATATTTAAACTATTCCAGTCGATGAATTTCCACAGTCTTATTAACTGATTCGCCGTCTGTACCTAGTACTTCACATTTAACCTCACTATTTTCCACTCAGTTGCTCCATTTTACGCGAGTAATCTTTTGAAGTCAGCTCTAATAAAATAACAAAATCTACATGTTTTCCGTTTTCATCGTGGTTGTTTTACATCTGAAAATTAGTACGAAGTGAGATGCTGTACAATATGCTCGTCATTTGTTAAGTAGACGTACACAGTAAAAGTCAAGTGAGGTTCTGTCCATTTTTAAAGTTCATCAGCCTCCAACCTAACAGATTTCACAGGAATCTGGAGAAGCACTGGACAACTGGAGAAACAGCATTACAGAGGTTTAATACAGCCTTTCTTCGACATAGTGACAAACTCAACGAATTCATGACAACTCTCAACAACAGGCTCCAAGCCTTACAAACTCTAATCGAAGAAGAGGAAACCAACATGGAGAACAATGGGAAAGGTACCAAAGAAGCACTGACTCCAAAGTGTCAGGAGGTTCTGGACCGCAAGAAGCATCATCATAAGGAATGGATCTCTATGGATACCGTGGACAAGATTCAAGAAAGCAAGAACAAAAAGACAGCAACCAAAAACAGCCAAACAAGAACAGAGAAAGTCAAAGGACAAGAATACGCAGAAGCAAACAAGCAATTGAAGAGGAGCATTAGGGTTGACAAGCAGAACTATTTGAAGGATAGTGGAAAACTGCATGAGAAGGAAATATGAAACACCTTTATGACACGATGAAGAAACTGACAGGGAAATATAGTAAGCCAGAGAAACCAGTCGGGGACAAAAAAAGGCAAGCCAATCATTGAAATTCAAGAACAGCGGAACAGGTAGGTAGAATATTCCGAGGATCTCTTGAATAGGCCAGCTCGATTGAATCCACCAGACACCGGAATAGCACCTACAGACCTCCCTATGGATGTCTCTCCACTATCGATAGAGGAAATCAGGATGACCGTTTATCAGACAAATGAGTGGAAAAGCAGCACGACCTGACAGTATACCAGCTGAAGCACTGGAGTCAGACGTAGAAGTAACTTCAAAGATGCTCCACGTTCTATTCAGGAAGATTTTGAAGGAAGAACATGTGCCGACAGACTGTGAAGAGGGATACCTCATCAAGATACCAAGGAAAGGAGATCTGAGAAAATGTGAGAACTATGGTGGAAAAACCCTACTATCGGTACCAGGAAAAGTCCTCACATACCTCATTCTAGATAAGCTCATGATAGTTTTATAAAGGTAACCACTTCATTTTTGGCGTCATTTAATCGAAGCAGCTTGATTATTAAGTTGCATTAGTTATGAGATTTTTATCGAAACGAAAACTTCGTACATTAAAACCAAACCTAAAGAATAATGAAGTTGTTAGCATAATCAAAAGTCCGAACATATATAATTATACCAACGTTTTTAGTATGACATTTAATGCTTTCTATAAATAAGAAAGTACATGTCCGTGATACACTTTTTTCTATCATTTCTTGTAGTTTTTTATGGTTGTTATCAGTACATTTTGTTTGTGAATGAATATACTGTCCTTTATCTTCAAGAGTTTCTGTCATTATGATCTTGACAGTGCTATATTTCTTTTTCTTATAGTGGACTTTGGGATATTGAAACTGGGCAACAAGTTGCTACATTCACAGGTCATACAGGCGATGTAATGAGTCTTAGTTTAGCACCTGATCTACGGACATTTGTTTCAGGAGCTTGTGATGCATCGGCAAAAGTAAGTTTCTATTATTTAAACTTCATTCTCAATAATTTGATATAATTTTGGGATAATCTTAGTAGTAATTATGTTCATTTCTAAAATTAGTCTTTTTTTAAAGCTTCACTTTTGTTTGATGGAAATAGGAAGAATTTTTTTATCGTTTATAAAGGTTCACTGTAAACGCCCTGAAAAATTTATCCTTGTCTATGGCTGTCATGAAATAAAGCTGAAATTCACACGCATTCTCTTATTTTCATCTAATTAACCAACTTCTGTTGCTATAGTAAGTAGTAGTTAATTCTTTTTTACTCATGTGTACTGGTTTTTGGGCGTACACGGTCACCAGTTCGAACTTCGAAAAATATCAAAGAAATAAATATGAACACGTGCTATATATATATATATATATATATATATATATATATATATATATATATATATATATATATATATATATATATATATATCAACTAATTGCTCACGCGTTTCTGATATTTAATCAATATAAAGTAAGCTGATATAATAGCTTTGGGATATAAAACCTTGTTCAGGCCAGTAACATTGCTTTTCGATTTCTTCTTTTTTTTATTGATCGATATTGTCTATTTACCGACCATTCTTATGCGCCTGCCTTGTCTTTCTATCTCTCATTCTTTCTACCCCTGGCTTGAAATTTTATTCCATCTCTGGTTTCTAATACGATGAATGCCTGTCTGTTTAACGTTAACGCTTTGCATGTCCGTTCAAATACTTTTTTTAATTTTTGGCTCGGCAAACATTGCCCATACCTCACAAATAAAAATATCTAATCATACAAATATATTTCAAGCTCAGATCCCTTCTTCCAGGGAAATAACGGTAAAATAACTTAATACTAATTTTTCTACTGCTTACTAAGCTGGTCTAGGTAACTGTTGTTAAAATAAAATGATACTAACCTCTTTTTTTAAGTATTATGCTGATCGATCATTTGGTTTGTAAGGAGAAAAAAAATCCTCGTGTGAATCATAGTGATGTGATTAGATCACATCAGCCTCTTCGTTTTAGTTAACGTGTCTTAATAGAACTGTGATTTAATTAGTAGTCCAACTACTTAGTTCCAGGTTCAAACCAGTTCCACTCTCTTCCATTACACAAATATAGTCAAAGCCAGTTCCACGAATTTGTACTTAATGAATAAATGATATTAAGTTACGAAAAAATCTGTACTACGGAAAAAAGATGCTTTTTTTACCTCAAGATGTCATTCTGCTCTACCATCTAAGGAAAAATAAATCCAAAAGTAACCAAGTGATAAACATGGGCAATACTCAAATGTAGATACATTTTATCTATAGAAAAACACAACTAATTGTTTTATGTCTTCATAGTTTTCCAATTACTAAGTTTTCCTATCCATCGATCATTACGAAATAACCTAAATGAAAATTCCAATGCAAAAAAGCTTGCTTACAGATGACACCACTGATTGTTAATATATTCGTTAAATCGGTTAATCTTGCATCCATATACTGTATTATTTTTACCAAATACTTTACATCTGATTATAACAAAAGCTTTCAATGAAAAGGTAATAAACATTATCCTTTCATATTACGAGATTTAGTTGCAGTGAAATACTTTTGAGATATTTCCTACATCAATGATTCTGATAATCGTTATTATACTAATTCCTGACCTATGTATAAACTTTACACGACATTATGAAGCGGTGAATACAGTTTATTTGTGCACAGCATAGATAAAACCATCACCAAGCACGATTTGAGTAACCAACATTTAGCCTAGGAGAGGAGTATATGTTTAGGATGTAACACGTGGTCAATCATACGTGATCATTAAAGCCTGGGAATAGTAATGAAAAGATATATGCAAATTATTGCCGACACAAATGACACTGCCTATCAAATATAATTCAAGGGCTTAATAAACTTCAGCACATGCAAACTGAAGTGTAGGTGAGGGCCCTATAGGATCAATTTTATTGAGAAAACTGCGCCTAAGTTTCCTTTACGTATGTTCCGTAATGAAGTTAAGAAAAAAAGCATTCAGCGTCATACTTTTTAGCTTTTAGGGATTGTTATTATTTATGTTTAGTTCTTTTATGATTTGCATTTTTTTCTTAGTCGGTTTAAATTGAGTTATGTTCTCAAAATGAATGTGATTTTAATAGACTTCAATTTCACCGAATGTACTTTCTTTCTGTACTTTGCAACAATGGTGCATAATATTTGTAGTGAACAGAACATGAGTGGGGACAATCGAATGTATTTAACACGAAATTACAGGACTAATTAATAAAATCTAACAACAATAAAGTAAATGCTTAATTTGCAAAATGTCCACCAGTTGTCTCAAAATGACTCAGACTTCATTGTTCTTGCATTTTCATACAAATTGCATTCTGTTTCCATTCTTTACTGTTCGATCCTCTTGTCTCTCTGCTCCCAGACATTCTGTTCACGACTAACATCATATACTACTTATGTCAATATAAGTAACACACCACAATATTACATCATTTATAGATTGCATCTTTCTCTGGTTGACATCAGTTATGTCATTAAAATCCAGAGAAGAATAAGCTGTTCCGTCTCGGTGCAGGCTTCCTCACCAGGGAACACCCGCGACACCATTGGAAATCGGACGCAGTACTTTAAGTTTTGGTGCCTAACCTTTTACTTTTAAACCACTTATTAGGAATCCAATTTTCTTCATTGTAACTTTGATCGGTTCACGATACAGCGCTGCAATTATTTAATGCCATCGATTATCATTATCTTCTTTTTATTATTGTGCAAAAAATTATCGCTAAGAACAACATTTCCATATTTTTCAAATTTTTTTCAATCAACCAAGTTAATACTTAAATTAGCAATATACATTGAGAAACTACTGAGTGTATTGTTAATAATAATATTTTATTGGCACCAGTTTTGGTTTTTAGTAGTTGAAACATTGAACTTTCAGCTATTAGCTTTTAGGTTCTAATCCGTCTACTTTAGTTGTAGTATTACAACTAACTCAGTAAAATATGTGTATCGAATATGAAAACAAATTTGTAATTATTAGATCGATTTAATAATAATGGTAATAACAATTTTTTTATTTTTAAACTTCGTTTTCTTATGTTGTTGGACAGATACTGTTTATTTTGTCCTATTGCTTGAAATTTATTGACTACTTTGCTTTATTTTATCTCTTCAAATAAATGTCAAATGTTTTTACAACGAATGTTATCCAGTTATGTATTATTTAACACTGATCAAATTTCTGTCAAGGTTACTCACACTAACAAATTATGAGTTTTAGATTGAAATAGTTTTCGATGTTTTGCTTTTTTTTCGGAAATTTCTATAATTTTATAGATCAAGGTAGGTTCTGTTAAGTTATGATGACAATTAACATAGGTATATATATGAATGACACTTGTAAGTTACTAATATTTGATCACAGATGCCTTCAAAGCATTTCTCGCGTTTATTGGAACCTTTGAGTAAACAGTGCTGAGATTAGATTCAGAATATCATTTAATAATAAATCAGTTGTTGATGTAGTGAGTTTTCATTTACTAAGGCGGTTGGGATCTGTATTACGTCTGACTAGGTTGGAAGATAACTGTTAAATCAAGGTGTAGCATCATCCCATGAAATCATTGACTATTGGAGTAAGCTGTGTTTGCAGGTGTAGGCTACCTACTTAAAGTCCTTGCAATAATCATGACCGATGTTTAAAATACGTTAGGCAACATGGTTCAGTATCGATCACAGTGGTTCAAATTCATTCACTGTTTTCCTTCCCTTAGATCTTGATTTTCAAAATTATTTTGTACTCTCTGTTCGATTAGTTCACTATTTCTCAAACCGTATTGTTTATGCCTAATTTTTCTACAACTTATCTGTTTTTTTTATAATTTAATCTCGTCTTGTTGATATGATGTTATAACTTAAATCTATACACATATGTCCCAGATTCTATATTGTATATGACTGGCTGGTTCATTTAAAAATGTATCATTATTGATGAAATCTTTGTGAAATGTATGTGTTTTTTCAATTGTCTTAACCTAAAAGCTATGGGATATACGTGATGGTCAATGTAAACAAACGTTCACTGGACATGAATCAGATATCAATGCAATTATATTCTTTCCGAGCGGTTTAGCTTTTGCAACTGGTAGCGATGATGCAACCTGTCGATTTTTTGATATTAGAGCTGACCAAGAAATTGGAATGTTTAGTCATGATAATATTATTTGTGGAATAACAAGTGTTGCTTTCAGTAAAAGTGGACGATTACTACTTGGGGGATATGATGATTTCAATTGCAATATATGGGATACACTTAAACAAGAACGTGCTGGTATGTTATGATCTTTTCTATTTATTTTTTTAAAACAATCTGTCGTACGTTTGTACTGCTACGTAGTAATTTATTATCTTCTTGGTAATGCAGCACAACTAAATGCATTTACCTTGTCTCGTTACTTCTAATAAGTTAAAAAAACTCCAATAAAAATTCTCCAAAACACTAATTGATTTTGTCTAGTTAATCTCCAATCCTGAAAATAGTTGCTTGAAACTGTAAAATTTCAAGGTGTTTGTAAACATGTATGAATAAAACAAAGCCGTTTACTTCCTGTTTAAATTGTTATATTGGGTTGGTATTAATGAAAAGTACTAGTGTCTAATTTTTTTTATAATATGATTTACGAGAGAGAGAGAGTGTGTGTGTAAAATGTCCTTTTAGAATGCTTATATCAAAATGTTATACCTGAAAGACTACTGGACTCCAAACCAAATGATACTGGTTTAAAAGGCAATATAGCTTTACTGATTATTTAAATATTTTATCAACTAGTTATTAAAATCATAACACCTAAAAACGTCCACGTTTGTTGCATTTATTCATATCAAGTGATTTAGCTGCAGTCTTTTTAATGATCAGTAAACTGAACAATGCCAGATTACTGTATTTTTCAGAACTATAATAGTTTTTTTTCTTATCAATCGTAACATGTGTACACTTCAACAGTCTTTGTTGACCTGGTAGTCAAACGCTAATGCATACTTCCTTTATTTAATATTTTTGGTCTTTCACAACATTTTTCCTCATCATCCACTTTTCTATGGAAACATTCTTGTTTGCTTGTTTGTAAGTATCATTACTAGCCTCATCATATTACTGGACGCTCTGCCAACTTAGTTATTCAAGTTTTTACTACCTTTCAAATATTTTTTCGAACTGTCATTTTAATTTTATGTGAAGCTACGTTTCATTGTGCATTGACCTCAGGTGAAGAGCAATAGATAATTAACTAGTACTGACTAATTATCTCATTTGACAATCCACATCTGTTAGGAGAGCTAGAATCGAAAGATGGGTCTTCAGCTCCTGTGAACATCCCAATATTACTCAATTAACGACTTAAAATACATCGGCCATCACTTCCAGCTATGGTTAATTCAATATTTGGCGTAACGCCATCATCTGATATCATTGATGTGGTTTATAAATCACTCTCAACATGGTTGACGATATTTACAGTGACTCCAAACTGGACTTTCTAAAATGTTCATCTTCAAATCAATCACGATTCTTACTAATTTAGTTTTTCGTTTAGAGATTTGTTTTCTGCAAGTATAGTTTTTTCTGGAAATGGTAAGAAATAAAGATATCCAAACATTTGTTTCTCCTTACTTTTCAACTCGTCATGTAAAGTATTTTATTACTACATTTTTTAAATTCATAGTCATATAATTTCGTCTATTTTATTGATAAGTATGGACATATTCACCATAGCTGATTATGTCATAAATTTGGTTACTTCTGTTCTCCTGTCTAAAGTGAACTTTAATGATTGTTAGAAAGTGTTTTATAATTGTCTGCACAATTGAAATACACTATTTTCTACATATTTCTTATAATAAATAATTTTGACGTCACACTAACTTTTGCTCATATGTGGCCATTTTATGGTTGGTCTCTTGTTGCATATAATAAATACAGCTCAAAATATATCTAAGTTTCATTTTAAATTGTACTAACTATATTTAGTATTATGTTATTCAAAGAACTATTGATATTATGTTATTAAACTCGACAGTCTAATTGAATAAAGGAATTACCATATTGATTTCTAAATCGAATAATATATATTTATATCTAAGCTGAATTAGGATTTTGTCTGTGACTGTGATCAGGTTCATTGTATCACACACACTTTCTCTTTCCTCAACAGTTAAAATAAGATATAAGTTGGTGATTACTTATATGAGATATACATTACTTTTATGTATCTATTATCTATCAAGGTCAATTAGATAAGATTATTATGATAAACATTACAACATTAGGAAATAATTGTAATGCACAGATTATATTAATACCGTTTAATTTTCCCATATAACTTTCATATTAAACCTTCACTATGAATGACAATTAAAATGTAGTAAGTAGTTTTTAAATTGAATTTCGTACAATTATTATTCAGTAATTCCAAAACTATTATCTGTATTTCATGTGATTGCTTCATGAATATATATTGGCTCGATAAATTAAAATGTTCATTTTGCTTATTAGATTAGACCAAATATTAATTGTTTGAACATCTTAACAATAGTGTCTACCTATGTAAAATGTAGAAAAAACTAGAGTCCACTTAAGTTTATAACTAATTAATAAAAGATTGAATGTTTGTACATTATAATTTACATTGAAATTTTTATTACTATGCAATCATAAATTTTGTCTTCAAGCCTTATACATACATATGACAAAAAAGTCACTTTTAAGGAGCAAACATAATTCAGCTTTATATCATTGTTTGTTTATTTCTCCCTTCTTTCAATTTCAGGTATATTGGCTGGACATGATAACCGTGTTAGTTGTTTAGGCGTGTCCGAAGATGGTATGGCAGTGTGCACAGGATCATGGGATAGTTTTTTGCGAATATGGAACTGATAGAAAAAAAAGAAAGAATTCAAATCATTTGTTTAAATGTGTGAATCTGTGCACTGTCAGTTTTTTTCTCTTGGTTGCCGATATTGTTGTTTCGTTTTTTGGCCAACAAAAATAAATAAATAAATAAATAAATATAGGATTGTAATCAATCTAATAATCCGAAAAATGTTTTCTTCCTTTTTTATCACTGGTTGTTCCTTCTATCTCTCTCCCAGTTTTCACTTTTTTGTTTCTCACATACTAGAAACACAATTGCAGTTGACTTATTATTAATGAGGTAGTTTGTCAGAATTTCATTTTCCCATTCTTTTCTGTTTCTTTTTTACTGCTTTGAGTTTCACACTGCATAGTGAATGGGCTATGTGTGTCTGTGTATGTGCTTTCAAGCAAAGTAAGTGATCAAATCCTCTTATTATCTGAGTTTTTCTCAATCCAAGTGTTTTTCTTTTGGTCAACTTTTTTCAGAAGAGAGTTTACAATGTTGTAAGTCAATTAGTCGATTGTTTATTTCTTCTCCTACTACTCTCTTCTAGAGTATACTTTTTATTCAATATGTACAAGACATAAAATGTATTGAGTCTGTTGTCAAAAGAAGATTTAACTTAGTGCGTGTATGTGTAATTTCTCTATAATATTTTATGCTTGATTTCTATTCGCTCCAGCCTCTCTTGCATTTACTTCATAATATAGAAGAGATCTCTGTAATTTTTTTTATCTATATGTTTGTGCGCTTATGTACTAACTTGAAGACATAATTAATGTATTCACTTAAGCGTCATATATATGAATATATATTTACGTATTTTTCTCCTGCGAATTACTAGAGATTTTTCAGTATCTGTTCGCTTTCATAATCATTTTTTCGGTTTGCCTTGAATTATACAACCTCTTGGATCTTGTACCTAGAGCGTTTTTATGTAGTACGAACACACAGTTTCCAGCATTTTTTCTCTCTCAACTAGTCGCTTTATGATTCCTGTAATCATTTCCTTTATAGTTATAGTCGTTAATTTGTAAAATTTAACATACTTGTTTATTTCTGGGCTGTTGTATTCATTTTTCTCTATTTGATGCATTTCTTATAAGTTTGCTTTGTGTTTTACAACAACTATTGCTGCTACCAACACTACCACCACCAAGTTCGTCTATTTGTTTATCTTTCAATCCACTAATGAATAATGCAACTTTGCTAGAATACAAATAAAAAAGATTGTTAAAAATGTTTAAATGCCCGGTTAAATTAAAAATAAAAAAATCTATTGTGTATTTACAGTATATAATGTAGAGTGTATTTTATTTCAGAGGAAACTCCGGGTTATTGAATAGTGCTAGAAAGCAGTGATGATTATATAACAAAAAGAAGTTTGTAATTCATTAAATTCTTCATTGGAAACAAAACGTTAGTTGTATTCTTTTTGCCATATTAATATTACTATCTGTTTAACTTCGAGAATGTATTGTTTCATTTTTGTTTTCGATAGTTCCTGTGTGTTGTTCCCCATGATTTATGTAACAGAGAGCATACAAACAGAAGTCTTTTTTGACCTAGTCTTTACCCTTTTTCCCAATACTTAGAGGTTCTTTTCAATTTGAGTATTTTTTTTCTTCTGTTGCACATTACGTTAGTCACTTCATTCTTTTATAGTATGATAACAAACTGGACTGCTTTTCCGGACAAAATTCATTGATACCTTTAACAACAACAAATTTAATGCATTTGACAACACTTTATTTTAGGCTTCTTCTTAACACGAGTCAGTTATGGTGTGTTTCTTTATTCATATAGTTGACTTTGTGTTTTCTGATCATCGATAATTGGTGGACGAGTTATTATCTGCCAATTTATTTTTCTTTTTATGTGTAAGACAAAACACCAAAACAAAATCCTATCAACCTGAGATTTTGTTTTGTAATGCATCAGGTTTTCGCATAATTACTCACATGTGTAATATTTTACAGAATTACACGTAAAAAATCGAGACTAATTCAATTGAAAAAAAACAATTTTAGAACTTGTGATTTTATCTTTGTTCTTTGTCGTATTTCACTATGAAGTGTTTTATGCTTATGTTGGCAATAATAATGTTTGCAAACATCATTAGTAATACAAGTGATGTAGAACAAATTACTTTTGTTAATGCTTTTCACATAATACCGCTGCATGCTACTGTAGAAAATCTGGGAAGTAATCGGTCAGATGAAATATCATTACCAGATAGTTTTGAAAAAGTGAAAAAAACGTGTTAATACCATGTTTGATTTTCATTTAACGAAATATTGTTCAACGAGGAGAGGGATTTTGAAATAATAAGGAAGAATCATAACTCAGTGGGGAGTTTGTTGCTAGTAAATTGTCTTTCTATAATCTAGATCGTCTCATCATTAATTTTCTATGCGACGTTACTAATAGTACAAATCTAAACATACTACTTATCAGAATTTCCCCTTATGATGACAGTAGCTTATCCTGTCGGTATAAAATGTAGTTGGCTTTTATCACTGACTGCGTGTCACCATTTGGACAATTTTTCTGTTAACCGATTTTTACTAATCTAGTAGATCATTATTTTTGCAGAAGAAGTTTCAGTTACTTACCAAGCATCACGAAAAAGTCCACCTTAATGTGTGTTTGATATAAGTAATGTAGTTTCTAATAAAATCTTATTCTATTAGGACTGCTAAATTCTGAATACACAGAAAATTAGTGATTTTGACTATTAACTATCTATTAGAAGGAATTTTACACAACATATTTTTTATTGGAAACGTCACAATATCTAACTATATTTACTCTAAAGATTATTTTGTTGACGCATATCAAATACATGACAATTTTAACAATGCAAAAGTAAGTTGGAATTAAGGCTTTCTTTTTCATCAGGCAAGTAATCATTTGCTAATTAACAAGCAACTAATGATCATACTAGTCAATACATTTATGTGTATATTACTTACATACTTACACCTGTTACTCCCAATGGAGCATAGGCCGCCGACCAGCATTCTCCAACCCACTCTGTCCTAGGCCTTCTTTTCTAGTTCTATCCAATTGTTATTCATTTTTCTCATGTCCGTCTCCATTTCTTTGCGTAATGTGTTCTTTGGTCTTCCTGTTCTCACTTACCCTTGAGGATTCCAAGTGAGAGCATACCTTGTGATGGAGTTGGGTGCTTTCCTCAATGTTTTCCCTATCCACTTCCAGCTCTTCTTCCTGATTTCTTCCTCCACTTGAATCTGGTTTGTTCTCTCCCACAGTTGGTTGTTGCTAATATTGTCCGGCCAACGAATCAGAAGTATTTTGCGTAGACAACTGTTAATGAACACTTGTGTCTTCTGGATGATGACCTTCGTAGTTCTACAGATTTCCGCCCCACACAGCAAAACTGTCTTGACATTTGTATTGAAGATTCTGACCTTGGTGTTGGGTGACAGTTGTTTTGAGTTCCAGATGTTCTTCAGTTGTAAATATGCTACTCTTGCTTTACCGATCCGCGCCATCACATTTGCACCAGATCCACCGTGTTCATCAATGTTGCTGCCCAAGTATATAAAGGCTTTTACATCTTCCAAATCTTCTCCGTCAATTGTGATTGGATTGGTGCATGCTGTGTTGAATCGGAGAATCTTGCTTTTCCCTATGTTTATATTGAGACCTACTGCTGCTACACTGGTCATGTTCGCCTGCATTTGTTGTTGCGTGTGCGATAGATGAGCCAGATCATCTGCAAAGTCTAGATCACACAGCTGCACCCACCTGTTTTGTTGTTCTCCAATGGTGGTGATTACGTCGCCTTCTTTGATTTTCACTAGTCGTTCTGGTTTGCGGCGATTTCCAGAGAGTTTCTTTGTTGTGTCCTACAGTTGCTTCATGTTTTCTTCTCTTCCAGCCTTTTCCGCCGTCATTGCTAAATCTTCCACATATTTACGTTTGTCGGTTCTGATGCTCCTCTTCACTTGCTTGTTTACTTCTGTGTATTCAGCTTGTGTCTTGGCTTTCTCTGCTCTTGTTCGGCTGGTATTGATTGCTGCCTTCTTGTTCCTCCTTTCTTGAGTCTTATCCAGTGTATCAACAGTGATCCATTCCTTGTGGTGGTGCTTCTTGTGACCTAGGACCTCATGATATGTTGAAGTGATTGCCTTTTTGATCCCCTTCCAGTTGCTCTCCACAGTAGTTCCTTCTCCATTGAGTAGATCATGAAAGGCCTGGACTTTATTGCTGAGGGCTATCTTGAATTTGTTGAGTTTGTTAGTATCCCGAAGAAAGGCCGTATTGAACTTTTATGATATTGTCTGCCCCGTTGTGCAGTGCTTCTTGAGTTTCAATTTCACCTTGGTGTCCAGCAAGTGATTATCTGATGCTATATCAGCTCCTCTCTTGGTTCTCACGTTCTCCTGAACGTTTTGTTGATGCAGATATGGTCGATTGGGTTTTGCGTAGTGCGGTCCGGTGAAGTCCATGTGATTTTGTGAATGCGCTTATGTGGGAATATGGTTCCGTCTGTGACCAGTTTATTGAAGGCACATAGGTTTGCAAATCTCACCATTTTCGTTGCTTTCTCCCAGTCCGTATGTATGTATATATATATGAATTCGGTATTATACATTTTCTCTCGTAAGTAACACTTTAATTGATTAAATTACTGATATAATCATTCAATAGAATGAATTTTAATATATATTAACTGGTAATTCGTCAGTAAGATTTAACAAATACTTCTTAAATATTACGATTTAATTTAAAGTGAAGAATTATATTGATTTGTAATAACTGCGAAAGTAACTTTTGATCAGGCAGATATTATTATTTCCTTGTATAAATCGACTTAATTTATCTATAATTGCTTGTTATTATAACATCTTTATATCTTCCTTTTTTTGTTGTTGAAGAAATAGATTGTATTTTATGAACTATTTAATGTAACGAAGTTTATCGTCTAATCACATATTATAAAATAGTTTTTCTTTACATTATGATGTTCAATTATAAATTTCTTTTCAGA